TATGGTGAACAACAACAAAATAAGATAATCTCCGGATTCCGGCCACTCGAGGCAAAAAACAAAGGAAAGAAAAGGAAAAAGAAGAAAGGTAGCGCATGCTTATACAAGCGCCATCAACTCAGACCCCATCGTTAACGTTTCCGCTTCACACTGATAACGCCTTCCCCATCCACCATCATGGCCACCCCTCCCATCCCGCTCTCAATACCCATTCCCTCTGCACTCCCGTTGCCGCTCCCGTTGCCGCTCCCACCTCTCACAAACACCCTCGCATCTAAATCTCCCTCGTCCGAATCTACATCGACATCTATCAGATCCATCAACTCTTCGTCGAGATCTGCATCGTCACGGGGTGGATGAGTTTGGGCGGTTGGGTAGGGGTGTGTTTGACACTGTGGATTTGATTGTGTTTGTGGTTGGGATTGAGGATGGATGACATGTCCCGCAGTCCGTATCCTAGCGCGCGGACCTCTCGCATCGCCCTCTACCTCCGTCTCAGCTCCATCTCTCATCATGGGAGGCGCCAGCTTATCCTTCTCCCCACCACTCCTATCGAGCTCGTCATCGTCATCCTCTTCAGGTGACGAAACAGCCTCGGCTTCGAGCTCAAGATCAGGTTCAATCTCAACTTCGACGTCTTCGTCGAGATCTGCGAATGTGCGACAAAGGGGACAGCTGAATGCGGAAGTGTGAGCGTCGAGGAGAGGGCGAATGCATTTGTAGTGGAATGCGTGACTGCAGGGGGCTATGAATAGGGCTTGGCGGATTGTTACTGCGAAGAGGCCTGTGCGTTATATTAGCGTGTGAGATAGCGTGCGGTGGTACGGGGAGATAAGGAAGGAGGGAAGGAATGAAGGGAGAGAATAGACGTACAGATACAACAATCGGGGATGTTAGTCTTTGGCATTCGTTTTTTGCCATGGGCGCTTGCGCTTTGTGGTTGGCTGTGGGGGTCTGCGGAGAGGGAGCGGAGTTGTGAGAGGGCATTTGTGCTAGAACACATATCAATCAACATCAACTGAGATACATGAATCGATGGGGAAAAACTCACTTGAAAGCGTTAGGAGCAGCCTGCCACTCCCTCCCTACCTCGATCCTAATCTTTACAGACTTATAAATATCCTCGGTTCCTCCCTGGTAATCGACCCCCAGCTGAACGATATCCCCATCTTTAAGCTGATGGGGTTTACTCTCCGAGCCCGCGGGACTGAGGCGTAGATGATTGAGGAAGGTGCCTGAAGAAGATTTTGTATCTTTGATATAGAATTTGCCATTGTCAGCCCAGATCTCAGCATGGGCACGAGAGACGACTTTGCTCTTGAAGGCGAGTTTGTTCGTGTTTAGAGCATTTACTGCTGCGAGACCTATTCCTGAGCGATCTGTGAAGCGGCCGATGCGGAGGGGGATGTCGTTGTCCTTGAGGTCGCGGGTTATGGGTTCGAAGCGGAGTGTGCGGCGAGAGTCGAGGTGGGGAACTAAGCGGATGCGGTGGGTTTGGTTGTTGTTATTGGAGAACGTTGTTGCTCGGAGGAGAGGTTGTGGAGCGGGCATTATTGGTTGGTTGTTGACGGTGCCGGCTGACCGCCTGCGACGTAGAATGTTTGAGATTGGACCAAGGCTTGTGGTGTTATTTGAAGATGAGTTTATTTGAGGTACAAAACTTCGTCGCCTTATTGCTGACGGGGTTGTTGGAGAGGGTGGGGAATCTGCTGGTGATGGTTGTTGCTGCGAAGTGGAAGTTCCTCTTGGGCGTCGAAGAAAGGATCCTAAAATGGTCACTGTGGACCGTTGCGGTGCAACAACAACTGGAGAATCATGATTTGAAACAAGACCACCACCAGTTATCGGCGTCATTGTTGTCGATGTCGTGGTCGCTCCTTCCATCTTCCTCGTCGTTGAAGATGACCGTTGTTGTCAACTTGTGTTGTCGTCGCAATTTGTCGCTCAATTATTTTCCTATGCCTGATGGAGGCGCTGCGAGCGGCGCCGTAGTTCAAGGCACTTGTCCATTTACGGTATCAATAAGGTCCGCTTCAACCGACGCGACTCGGACTTCACTGCTTTTAGTTAACAACTATCCTCACACCGTACTACTGTCAGCAGTACTGAGCTAGTGTTGTCGACCTAATCAGCATAGCTTCTTTGCCACACAGGAATCCCTTACAACATCCATTCAACTTCGACCGAGATGCCCTTTGTGAGCCGGTTCAGGCCCACTCGCTTGCTCCGGTCGGTTAAGGTTTCACCGTTACGTGCCTAGATGATTTCTGTCCGATACTACCACCTGCAGTCTCCACCAGCGCTACCTCGCAAACAAAGGGATCCGCCCATTGTTCTCAATTCACATTCAATAACCTGTCACAAAGGCATTTGTCCGCATATATACGATGCCAACTGATCTGATTTGTTATCGTCGCGAATACTTTCAGCTGCAAGAAAAGTTTTCACCTTCAAACGAAGAATGTCCCGACCAGATATATAATTGCAGCTATTCTAGAGATGCTACAGATCGTTCTAAACTCCCAATTCCAAACTTCACTCCTTCAGCGCTGTACTCCATGTCGGAAGCCAATGCCTATTACGGCTTTGGGCAGTGCCTACTATGATATCGAACAAAGTTAATCAAGATCACAACGTCATTACCTTTGAAGCTCACTTGATGAGATCATTGCAGTTGGAACCATTACCCTTCGAGTTTTGTTCTTCAAAGCTTCTCTCTCCAGGTTCGCATCGTATCTTAGCTTGATGCCCGTCGTTGATTTCAATGTTCTCCCAGAAAATCAATATCATTTTTCTTTGCAGCACCATCACCTGATGTCATTTTTTCTCGACAAACGGGAGCAAAAATGCCAGGTGGTGAAGTTGCGTTTCGAACACATCACAGGGTCGTTTTTCAAAGCTTCACTCTAAATCTGTATCTTTGCTTCGTTGTTGACATTCTCGCAGAAGCGTCAAATATTTCTATTCCTTTCCCTTCAACAGTGCCTGAAATCAGAGTCGCAGTGTCACTCCCTGATCTCTGCGCTTCTGATGTCTTGAGAGGGCTTGATCAGGTAGCGGCATTGCGTTTCGAACAAGAATGGATCACATTCACTATCACTCTCTAGGACCTAGGTTCGCGCCTGACCTTGTTCAGATCCTAATAGATCCTAATACACGTAATGACCACGTATCTTTGACCGCCCCTCACTCTTTCACTGGTACCGCTGTAGAGAGGCAGGCAATACCACCCTCACAGCCAAACGAGCATCATCAGTCCATTTGCACTCGTTATAGACCCACACGGTATCCCCGATATCAGTATCTTCAGTGGCAAGGGTCATTCGGGCAGTACCTAATATCGGGGGCTCATCGGAGTCGCACTCTCATCACCTGTAGCGGCAGCTGGAAACCATCCAAGAGATCTTCGCAGATGACGGCATTGCGTTCAAGTAGATCGTAGGGTTTCTCTTCACTACCTCTCTAGGTTTGTGTCTTGGTTTTTAAGACACGGTATAGCACTGACCACGTATTTTGCCCCTCCCAGCGTAGGAGGCTTATTTAGTTTATTTCATTAGAGGTTCTCTGAGGTCGTTACACCATTTGGTCTTGAACTTGTGGCAGACCCAAGAGGTACCCACGACATTGAGCCTGCACGTGTCAAGCTCCGGGCAGGCCCAATATTAGGCGTTCACCGGACTCGTAGCGTCATCGCCTGCGAGGTGTATTGTAGAGATTCCCGCAGGTGGCGTCACTCCCTTCCAAACTCACACTTCAGACGTTCACTCTCCCTACGGTACCCCCAATCTGATCGGAGCCGTAGCGTTATCACTCAAGAAGGCCCTCTTCAGAGTTACAGGACACTTTTGCAGGTGGCGGCGTTGCAGTTCAAGCATATCATAGGGTTAATCTCCACTAGCATTTTCTAGGTTCGCATTACCTAACTTGAATAACACAATACACGTGCTGACCACGTATCTTGGGGAGTCCGCCATTCGTCTACGGTCTGTCTATCCTACCGCGTCAAAGCTATTCATAAGCACCGGAATTCGGTGCTGCATAATAGATGGGAGTGCATTCCGTTCATCACAAATTGTATCTTATCACACGAGGTGTTATGCTAGATCAGTATCGTGAAACTTGATTCTAATCGTAAGAGTGATCACCTTTGGCTCCGAGGCAACCAACTGGATGCTAGGGTTTCCCATACACCCTCGTATATTCCGCGCTGGTGCCAATAACGATGTATGCACCCGTTGCTACATCACTTGGGTGGCTGCTAACTTGTCGTCTCGGACCAGATAGAGTTTCCGTGCGATCAAATCTCTTCCTGCATCGAGGATCTATTTGTTGCAATTGCAAGATGACTGATTGGTCCCCGATCATTACACGCATCGGTTCACATCAACCCTATTCCTAGCTATTCGAGCTTCTTTGTCCCTGGAGTTGGTTCTATGACACGTTACAGCACTGGCCACGTATTTTACCCTCCCAGCACAGGAGGCTTAGTTATTGAAGGTTATCTGGGGTCATCAGATCATTTGGACTTGGACACGTTGCAGGCCTAGTATCGGGTGTTCATGGAAGTCGCAGCTTGTCCAGCAGCACCCAGTTGGGCAACATTACAAGTAAACTATCTACATAAGCAATGGTCTGACTGCGGGAGCTGATAATATGACGTGCGGAGGTGGTCGTAAGGATTGACCCTTCTGAAGCGTGCGTGCGATGATTGGCTCTAGCTTGCTTATTAGTGCTTATCATTCACTGCGGACCGAGAGAATGACTCTATCCTAAGATCGACCTTCGTGAGTACGAAGTATCTTTTCCGGACCTGGCGAAAATTTTCACGTTATAGACCTGTGAGATCAATTACATGAATCGTACGTTACTGGGTGACTATCCGTAGGCAAAATAATGCGGAATAGATTATAACGGACTTTGAAAGATATTAGCAAAATTTAATATGTACAGAAAACACAACCGTAACGCATCTGGATTAAAATAATTCGGTCAAAACTGCAATGGACGACCTGCTACTACAGTACCACAATCTGGTGAACGACGGAGAAGAGACGGGTTTTCTCGACGACGAAGAAGACGCGAGGATGCTAGCAGCTACCCTCGTCGCTGGAATAGAGTTAGCTCGACTTGATCGTGTCAAAACCCGGAACCCTAAGCGACTGTACCTTTGTCGTGCCCACTTACTTCCTGACCCACATCGAAATACCCCATGGCAAGTGCTGTATGCAAGTCACAGTGATCGTGCGTTCATTACCACGAGTCACCCGATGACTCTAGATGTTCGTAGTTAGTAGAACGACCCTGTGGTGGTTGCAGGAATACGTTAGTACACACAGTAAAATAAGTCTTTAATGTTAAAAAACAGTCGCGGTAGCTTGGGGAACGAGTTGTTTTCGCAAGTCTAGACTTATAGGGAGAGAATGGTGCCGGCACTGCTCACCTCGTACCCTGGCCGGTCGCAGTGGTACGTGTCGGCGTCGTCTGCTGAGAGCAATCTTAAAACTTCAGCTGAAAACTTCGCCAAGGACCTCAGGGATGGGACTGCGTATATTGGAAAATGTTTGGACTAGGTGGCGACCTTCGCCATGCTGAACATGTGTCAGGCGGACCTCAAGTCTTGGATTAGTCAGCAGATAGCTTAGGCGTAGTGGCCCAAAACGGATTTAATCCGTCGTTTATAATCCGGATTAATCTGTAAGGGGGGGGGCCCCCCCTTCTAGATTTAGAGTTTGTAAGAGCCTCAAAATAATATGTTTTGAACATCCGACGCAAATGAACAGCGGCATCGCGGCACGACTTCCTTATATGGTCTTTTTTATTCTATCTTATTTTATTCCGCATTATTTCAGCCTACGGATAGTCACCCACTAGTTAGAGCAAATACGTATCAGCCTAAAGACTAACGCCCATCTAACTCTGGCCAAACTGGCCCTTTTGATGTACACAGTGACGGTTTTGGGACTCCATTGACGCGATTGTGATCGATTTGGCAGAATTGTTATTGCCGTAGGGCAGAAATTCAGAACATGCAGGGGCGCACGTGATGATTTAATTGATTAATACGAGCATTGCCAGCAGGCATGGACAATGTTTCTTCCACCACAGTCTTGGGCCACAGAACGTTCGCTCGAACCCCCGGTATCTCATATATCTCCCTTATCGCTCAATGGTTTGAACCTGCAGTGACCCTGCGCAGCGACGGAGTTGAGAAGTTGATGTTCATTCTCACACAGATATCCATGAGCTAGCCTCCAAAGCCAACGTTAGGCGGACAGATTCAAGAGACTGAGGAAATTTTTGTGCAGTGCGTTCCATCTTCGCGAGAAGCACACAAATTTGTCAAAAAAACAACCGTACTGATTGACTCTGAATCAGGTATTGCGCCATCAACCACAATACCAAAGCGAATGGAGAAACGTTGCTGAGCGTGCCGCTCAGGTTTCTGGCTCAATTTGGAGCATGTGTGCTGGCCAAAACTACATTCTAATGTGCACAGGTGAGTAATGTGGTCGAAAGCTGGTTGCATGGTGACCTGCCCATACTTTGTCAGGCTCACACATTCCTTACTCGAGCCATGGTTCAGGCCAGGGCCGGGCCAAATCCGCGGCTTTTATGCCAAGCAGGGCCCGCAACATCACTAATCGAGGACATTGGTCTTGATGTGGCGGCGATGAATCGTCGAGGCAGTCCATTAGCTTTTGCCGCGTCTATAATTTGATTCTGAGTTGCATAACTCCATGGGGTTTTGGCGGTTTGCAAACCTGTGTAAGTCGATCAAGAACTCGTCTTTACTCTATAAACTCATGCGCGACCATGTAATTACTAGTAACCCATAGCAGAATTATACAGTGCTCGTGATTAATCTCTATACAAGGTGATATATGTCCTTCTCAGTTTTTCCTCAGTTCACTAATGCGTTGTGTTCTGCCGATAGATCAGTCGATCACCGGACACAACGAATCACTCGCTAGTGGCGCATAAACTGTACATCATGATGGAATGCGCCGTCGGTATTTCCAAAAGCACACAATAGTCCAAGCCAAAGGCCAGCAAGATCAGCATATGTATAAAGGCTGACACATTTCAGAGCCCTTATCTCATAACTCAGGTCTCTGATTTTTTCGAGTGTTCCCTCATCTTGACGTTCACGACACGAGTCCGATAACCTCCATGACTTCTACCGTAACCCACACCGTCACTTGTTCTGACTCCGAGCCCACAGAGTTCATTTTACCTGACTTCTTCAGCAATTGCCGCTATCCCATGCGACTAAATTCTCACCACGATCAAGTATCTTATGCTTCTGATCAATGGGCTCGTAGCGAAGCCAATCTACCAGAATCCAAGGCTCTCAAATATTCTACGTTATTGCGCCCAGCTTACTTCGCTTCATCTTGTTACCCTGATGCAGATGCTTTCCATCTCAGAGTCTGTGCGGACTTCCTGGGCTGGACATTCATAATAGACGACTGGCTCGAGCTCGATAAGTTTGAAGTTAATGATGCGTTGGAGATCCGTGACTGCTGCATATCTGCGTTCCGTGATCCTGTCAACTTCCAGACGGAAAATCATATTGCAAAGTTGTGCAAATCGTGTGTCTATCTTTCACTATCGCGCACACATTCTAATCATTGTGCGCCTTGTAGATTCTTCAGCCGTTTTAAGGAGACTGCCGGCCCTGGCTGTACAGAGCGCTTTATCCAGAGAATGGAGTTGTGGTACACCTCTGCGGCAAAGGAGATGGACAGCCGCGCCAAGGGATATGTTTATGATGTTGAATCCTACATCGAATTGAGGCGCGACTTGAGCGGCTGCAAGCCTTGCTTTTCCTTTATAGAATTCGCCTGTCGGATTGATCTTCCCGACGAAGTGATCTCGCATCCGGTCATCATAGCCCTGGAGGAGGCTACCAATGACTTTGTTGCTTGGTCAAATGTAATACCTCATTCTGTCGTCGAAGTTGGGGCACTGCTGACATCACTGCGGACAGGACATTTTCTCCTATAACATGGAGCAATCTAACCATAGTACGCGTAATTTAGTTTATATCCTCATGGTCAAACAAGGTCTCGACCTGCAAGGCGCTATTGACTACTGCGGCCGGCTATGCGATATCTGCGTCCAACGCTTTGAAAAAAACCGTGCTATCCTCCCCTCGTGGGGAGAAGAAGTTGACAAGAATGTGGCTATCTACGTCCAAGGACTGCAGAACTGGATTGCCGGTTCGGTTCAGTGGTCCTTCGAGTCCACCCGCTATTTCGGGAAGGATGGGCATATTGTCAAGCGGAACAGAATCGTCAAGCTGTCTCCCAAGCGACCATTCTGAAATCCACAGCTGTTGCTCTATGTAAGACTGTTTTCACTTCTTGCTCTCATTGCATGATTCTCATTGCGATGGTTACCATTATAGAAAGTTACATCATTATTATCTATGTCTTGCTATCTGTGAAGCCAGAGCTGCTTTTTTATTACTGAATGCGCATCATGTTTCGCCTTCCTTCTTACTCATAACGTTTTTAACTTTTGCTGCTGTGTGTATGATAGTATTAGTCTGGGCCCCTAGTCAAACCAGAAAGGAAGATGTATGTAGAATTGTACATCAGCCCTCGGATTATGTTGGGGTTAAAATCTTGTTTCTGCACTGCTGTAAGCTCGTTGCTTGCCTGAGTTCCTATAATCAGCATAAATACTGTCCGCGATAAACAAAGCGTGCTTTGTTTATCACTGTCTTTTGGCGTAACGATTACTAAGGGACGACAGTCTTGACTATACTTACAACTGCGCAGTGAACGTACATGTACCATTGACATTAATATTCCGAGCACTGTATCACTAGGCGAAATGCATGAAGTCCAGCTTGCATATTGTGGATTGACTAGTGGTGCCGAAGTCCGGTTCGGTTCGGTTCTTAGGCCTCTAAATGCGAACGCCGAACTGGACCATCGGTCGCGTTCAGGCAAGGAGGGCGAACGCTGGACCGGACCCTTATGAACGCGTTCACAAGCGTTCGGTTCAAGTTCAGAACGCGTTCGAACGCTCGAACGCTACATATAATTTGACAAAAATTGCAAGAAATACATGAACCGTAAATGAGTAGCTAAATTTCGTCCATGGCATAGTGTTCGTGAGCAGCAGCAAACTCAGCTTGAACCGTTGCAGAAATGTGGCCTTGACGGTACCCACTCTTCAATAACTGAAGGGCCTCGAATGTTGTTGGCAACAAACGATTACGGCGCGCAGTCCCAGTGATGCCGCCACTCGAAAAGGCTCGTTCAGATGCAACGGCAGAGCCTTGAATAGCGAGGTAATCCTTTGCAATGCGTGAGATGGTGGGATATTGAACGGAATGGTGCTAAAGGCATAATGAGTCAACTTGCAAGGAAATGCGATGCGAAAAAACTCACACCCCACCACGCCACTATATTCTCAACATCCTCTAATGGGGCAGCAAGGTAGTCGTCAAGCTCCTGGCGAGGTCTTCGATTTGCGGTGTCATTTGCGACACGAGTTTTGACAGCATCGCGCATCCAGCTATGGCCGTATGACCCATGGCGAGCAAGCGAGGCAGGAGCTGCAATAGACGGCTCTGCAGCAGCGGGCGAGGAGTTGTGATGATAATATTTGTCAAAAACCTTCCGCAAGCTTCTCATGCCCTCGTCGAAGTCGTGAGGCTCCCATTTACCCTTCGCATATGCCACCTTATAGTTAGGATCAAGCGCTACATTGTGCATTAGATAGGGCATCATAGTAAATAAAACACATACCGAGGCAAACAAAATAAACATCAGTTTCGTCAATCTTGTGGTACCATTTGCGAATATTGTCGAGGCCAGAGTTGATTGCGGATGAAAAGTCGTCAAACTTCGAAGAACTAGCCATGTTTTGCCAAGTTTGTTGGAGATACTCGAGGACTGGAATTGCGCGCCATACAGTAGGTTCACGAGTCGCCGAAAACGATTGTTGTGCATTGGCAGGTTCCTGGTTATACAGTAGGTTAATACAACATTTGAGACTCGACTGGACACTCGCACATACCTGAAGCACGTCGTGCATCAATTCCAACTTCTTCCATTCTTCGGCTGAAAGCTTGAATGCTCCATATGACTTGCCCTGCAAGTTTGGGACTTCGTCACTGTCATCCGCCAGTTGTATGAATCTATTCACCCCCTGCGGCAGATCAAATTGAGTTAGTATTGGGCATAGGGATAGAAACCAACTTACTTTGCGTAGCTTAAGGGTGCGCTCCAACATACCAAAGAGTGAGGCCCATCGCGTGCGAATCCATTTCAAAAGCTCAAGCTTCGGCTCATTGACCTCGACACAACACTGTTGAAAAAAAGTGCGTGCTTGGGGAGATTTCCGAATCTGCGTAACAAGTGCGAGGGCTTTTCCTGCGGTGTCGGCAACCTCGAAATCAGTCGTTTCATCATCGTCATCTTCATCGGCCATGTTCTTGAGGAGCACGCTTGCTGGTGTGGGTGCGACCTCCTCGACAAAGTGTTTCGCAGCTAAGTGCAAGGCGTGCTCCATACAGCTGAATAGTAGACATCAATATATATAAATCACGATATTAAATAGTTCACTTACCACACACGGTGTTCCCCAGCAATCCATTTCTTGCCGGAAGGGTCGATAGCAAGCGCGACGGTCTGAATTGCTGTGTCGTTGTTGGTAGCATTGTCAGCTGTAAACCATCCAACCTTAGTGCGGATGCCATAGTTATTGATAGTTTCAATCAGGATTCGTCCAATGTTGCTCCCACTGTGATTGCCGTTGATGATGGTGAATGCAAGCTGCTCTGTCTTCAACTCCCACTCATGAGGTTTCCCAGCTGGGGAGTCAATATAATGCGCGGTGACGGAGAGAAAAGGTACCCCAGGTTCAGAGGTCCATGAGTCGAACGTGATCGAAATCTTGCTATCAACTTGCTTAAGTTTCTCCTTGACACGTTAAACGGCAAGCTGCGCCCGTTCAAGAATTTCATCTCGAGTTTTGGTGTGGTGAGGAATATCCCTGTCTGAAAGGGAAGGCCGGAGGTATTGAAGGAGCCGGCGAAAGGGTCCCTTGTCAACGAGTTGGAATGCCTATCTATGGCATGAACATCCTAAGTCACGATTACAAAAAAAAACACTCACCTCGTCCTCAGACACGATAAGCTCAACAATGTAATCCATTAGACCGGTCTTGGTGAATTCAGGAATTTTAGGCGTGAGGGAGGCATCTAACGTTTTCTGCAAGTCGTCGGTTGCTTTGCAGTTAGGAGGTATCGCCCGATCATGCATCTTGATACCTCGTTCTTTGCAGCGGTCGCGGTATATTGGAAAGTGACACTTCGCATTTCGAGCGATATGGGTGCGGCGAGTCGAAACACTGCCTTTGAAAAAGCACTGATTGGTGGGTACATCATTGGCTCTTGAATTGACAAAGTTAGTTATGTGTGTGACGTTCAAAGTAAAAGTAAAAACATACCTGCATATCTCGCACCACCAGCCATCTTCGGGTTCTTGGGTGTGCGGATTGATGTGTCCCTTCTCCTGAGTAAATACTACCTTCAAATCCCCACTGCGCTCCTCTTTCTTCTTATGCTTGCGATCCTCACGGTCCTTGTCTCCAAATACCTTGGTCCGCTCGTAAGCTTCCTCCCCGTCATTGTCTTCGGCCTCTTCTTCATCATCTGAACAATCCTCTAGTGCAGGAGGTTCGTCGTCATCGTCATCATGGTGACGGACCAGACGGGACCCACGTTGCACTCGCTTGGGTGCAGGCTGTCCTTGGGGAGGCGCTGGAGCCACTCGTTTGGCTGGAGTCGTGTTGCCAGCATCGCGGATTTTTTCTGTCGGTTTAACAGCTCGGCCTGAGCGAGACACAAAGGCAGTTAGCTTGCCATTGGATGCAGGAGGTGGAGGTGGAGGAAGCATGGGCGTGTCATCGTCAGGATCATTGTACCAATCGATGGCACTAGCATCCTTGAGTTGGCCGTCAGATCCAAGTGCGCACGACATTTGTGCAGCAAGGAGGGTGAAGATTGAACCTGTAGTAAGTAGCTCATTTATTCCAAATTTTATGATAAGAGATCAAAAAAATGACGCACCTTGAACATCCTGTTGCCATGCAATTACTTGGTGTTGAAGCTTGAAGTACCAGAACGAGAAACCTGAGAATATGTTCTGAAAATAAAGACCATTGAAGTCTGAATAAAGATTAACATTTGTTTAACATTAGGCTTACCAGAACATCGAGTAGATTACCAGGGAAGTCAGATCTCGCCAATGGAAATGTGTTGGGTGTTTTGGCTGCGAAGTCCGATCCGCTATTGATTGTCCCGAGATCGATCGACATGCCGGTTGCCAGAAGATCAGAGCAGATATATTGGTGGATCATGCAAAGAATATGAGAACACGTTCAGACGGGTTCGAACGGGTTCGAACGGGTTCACAGTATTCAGGCAGCAGCCGAACGCTGAACTTAATAATCAGTTCGGTCCTTATACTATTTCGAACCCAGGACCGAACCCACGGTCCGGTCCGGGAGGGTTCAGGTCCGAACCGAAGTTCAGAACCGGACTGCGGCATCACTAGGATTGACAAAGTGAGCGACTGTCCCTGCTTTCCATACTTACTATGTGGTAGCGTACAGAAAATGACCGGCTTTACGGTTACAGGGCCATGTACTCTTCACTACCAAGAAAATTCGGTCCCCAGGGACTATCCTCCTCTTGCTCCTCTAGACTGCCCTAGCTTCAAACAATCCAACTCCAAAACATGCTCCCAGTCCAATTTCTGTCGCTGGCAGAGGACCCGCCCTCGCTAGTAGCACGCTCCCATCATTATGGCACTCCCCATATTTGATAAAACCCCCAGAACACCCTCATCAACCCGGTTCCACTACAAGCGTCCACTCGTACATCTATCCCAACATCATATTCGTGCTTGATCTTATTATATAAGAGGAGGGCAGTTTGCGCGTGTGATTGGACGAAGAGGACGGACTGAAGAAACGGTATTACGAAGCTGCTCAGTGGGCACTCATTGGAGAACTTTCACTGAGCGATGGTGTTCTCTGGACGATTAACGGGAAAAAGCCAAGGCTGTTCATGGACCGAAGAAGGATACGAAGCTCAAGTTTGTCGTCGACTTTAACCATCGTCAAAATCACGCTTTTTAGATGTGGCGTAGAACAGGTCGTATTGAACTGGCGCAGCTTACTGCACATGGAGCATTCAGAACCAAGGAGGATTCTAAATACATGGAAGGCGAAGGATAATCCGTTCTCATAGTCAACCCTGCAGCATGGTTCGAAAGTGACACCCAAGACACTTTCTGGGACGAAACCTTCTCCACATGGACAGACACAAAACCCAAAGGTACGTCCCACACTCACTATCAACACTGAGACTACGACACTCAATGCCCACAGGCCCCGAATCTCTATCCCTCGACATAACCTTCCCCAACCACGCCCACGTCTACTACGGAATCCTAAACACGCCACGGACCTCTCTCTCCCAAGCACAATAGGCCCCACCTCAAGATATACAGGCCCCTTCCGTCTCTACAACGCAGACATATTTGGATACCCCTTAGACTCGCCGACTTCTCTCTACGGCTCGATTTCGCTCATGCATGCGCATTTTGCAACGCCGACGGTGGCTATTTTCAATGCCATTGCGTCAGAAACATGGATCGAATTGGAGTGAGATACATGCTCATATTGTTGAGATCGTCTGCTTTGCGTTGCCGATGTTCATCGCTTTCATGTGTTGATCGATCGTGCAAGGCTGTTTCGGAACGATATCTTGAGGCATACGACATTTACTTTTTGGACTTTGCTATATTGACAAGTACAGTTTGTCTTTACAGGATTCCTACAGCGCTGTTACATTCCCGCGTGGTGGTGCCATACATGGCTTCATGAGTCATTGAGACGTTCTCACCCATCATGCTGGCATCTACTTAAGCATCTACTTCAAGTTACATGGCCGTACGTCTGCTCGTCTTCTATGCCTAATGCCACGATTCTGCTCTCATTCTTATTTTTGTTCTGCAGTACGGAGGAATCGTGCTTGCCCCATGGTAGACATTTGTAATACCCTATAGATAAATTTTGTTTTCTCTTTTCAGTCTACTCGCATCTTCAGGGCTCTAAGGCATTGGTCTGCGGAAGATATCAGGTTCAAATCGCACCACGCATATGATGTGCTTGATGATTGGTACTTCTTGTGTGGTGGAATGTGCTATGGTTCCGTCAACGAGAAGTTCCAACCCTTGTGAGACAGCGATAGACGGTCAGTGGATCTTTACATTGGCGATGACCGTACGTTTGGGACGTCGTTGCGTTGTGTGGTGAGTATCACTGGCTTCATTCTTATAAACCAACTGTCCAAACTGATGTTGCGCTTCGAAGTTGTCTGATGTCGGGTCCGTGAGACTCAAAGTCTTACATTGCATTATGCAACATGCACCAATCACCTGAACTGCGTCAGACCATACCCAATTCTCATTCCAACATCGTTTCTGCATGGAGACAATCTTTTTTCGGTTCGGAAATGACTGAAACAGCTCAAGGCCACGAGACTTGCGATATGAAGCTTTCCACCCCCTTCCACAACCGTAAACTACCCTGCCGGTGGGTCACGGTTACTGAATGCAGCTGAGCGGTCATCGGACGCGGTTTCAGTCGTACGACGGAACCTATATTCCCACTAGGTATGTAGGTTCAGTGGTATCATTCTCAACAGAACGAGAAGGTCGGCGCAATTGGGGTAGTGGTAGCCCCTTGATGAGAACTCACAGGCTCGAAACCGCTGCCATCCCCGCCATCCTACCGTTCCTCTTACCCTAGCTAACGGACACTCTTATCCTAGGAGACGGGTGACTGCAGTAGGTGCTAAGACCGTGGTCTACCTCGCGACACTCTGCTAGACGCTCTGGGTTGGGCTTCGCTCATCCAAGCCGGTCGCTATGTCCTTCCTTTCCCATGGGCCCTGTATCTTTCGCGCTAGCACCAATAGCAAGGTATGCATCTGTTGCTGTATCAATTGGGTAGCTGCTGACATGTCATCTTGGACCAGAGGGGGTATAACCATGCATGGAATGTGCGTACCGTGGACAAATGGTCATATCTTCGGTTACAGGTGTGGTGAGTAGCATCAAGATTTTGCCCATAACCTATCTCACTACTAGTTTGTGTCAGCGTGGGCATGATTTTCACTTCTTCGTGACCGCCACTTCACTATTCACAGCTGAATTTCCATTTTTTTTCTCAAGTCAAGTGAATTGTCGGGTAGGATACTTTGCTGTGACGTGAGGAACGCCAACGGGTTTCAATGAAAACATTCGCCATCATATTTACAAGGGAGCAGGGTGTTTTTCAAGCCAATATATGTCCAGAGCTACACTCGAAAGTCGTAGAGTTGCTCTAGACATCAGAATTTACTAATGTGGATATCTATCTTATCGCCACCTGGTTGATTAGTGCCTTCCTTCTGATGGTGGCGGAATGGCGCAATCGCTGAGAAGCATTGATTCATGACGCTGATGCTTGCGCTGATGTATTCTTAGAATGACCTCTGTGCGTCTTTTCTTCTATGTCATTTTCCCGTACCATTATCAACCTTCCGCTCTCACTCTTATTGTCCTGGATTATGCATGTGTTATATCATATAATATATGCCCAAAGGTGTGGAAGCGAGGTTTTTCGCCTCTACGACTGGAGGAAAGAGTGTTCGATCGAAACGCTATGAATAAGCTACAGGAGGGTGAGTCAGACTTAAAGTTCTCAGAAACGAGCAATTCTGCTACTAGTACTTACTATGTATCGCGTTTTTCTTCCGATCCGGAGGCGAAGTATTAGATACCCTAGAAGCTACTAGTATGATGTACCAGCTTGTGGGGAGGTCCTCTTTTGAGCTTGCCAAATAGAGTTAAAAACTAGTATTGGACAAGGTTGGCCTGTGCCTTGGCAATTTCCCTCCGCCACATCTGCAGTTCCTGGACTACTTCAAACTACACCATCCCCTGATGCGTAAGATACCAAGATGAGATCGTCGACCCTTGTACTCGGCACGGCGTGGATATCACCGAGACAGCTTCGAACAGTTTCTCCCCACGGAAATCACGAAACCTTTACCCGAGATCCAGGATGAGGCGCTGACGGTATGCCAAACATGCTGGGGAACTGTGTTATCAGTTCAATGCATGTCGACAGAGGAAACGAGTAACTTTGTGTGAAATACCCCAGTTTGGAACTCTCACGACATCACTGATCTACTAGTAATTCCTTTCATAAGGGTTTATCGTGTGCTCGTGATACTGAAGCGGGCGCCAGCCAGTACTTGGCGCTCTGTTTGCTGTTTTTGCGATATGGAGACGCAATGTGAGTCATAGACTTTCTTACTACTCGGCGCCTTTTCGGAGCACTGGCAAATGAGGTTCCTTGAAGCGGAAAAGATACAGCAGCTTACGGATTCAAAGTTTACTAGCTCATGCATTGATGAAATCAGCACTATAGAGCCCTTGAATAATTATATGCTGTTGGCTCTTTCGAGTGCTAGCATGTGGCGTTGAGTACAAATCGGCCCCGAGGGAGAGTCTAGTTCTGTAAGTAATCGACTCTCGTGTGATCAAAACGCTGACATCTCCTCCTGCATGATCCATTGTAATCGCAAGATTAGTACCATATCAGATTGGTCGCCAATCATTGCACGCAGTTAACGTCAACCCTACCTCGAATATCAATCACTCTGCGCATCTTTGTGCCTGGAGAAATTTAGTGCTGTTTCTCAACTTCTTTCCGTGATGTCTGAGGCGCTCGAATATAATGGGCGGGGCTCCCGGTTGTATCGGTCATGGCGCTCAGACATTCAGTGCTGATCGGATCAAGCGTGTGATGCCAGAAGTTTAATTCCGCTCTATGGGTATTTGCGAACTGCGCAACATGTGTATTGGCCATTCTATAGCCAGCGCGAGCCGCTCAACTCTTTTCCGCAGCTGATGATCCAATGTTGACAATTAAAATAGAGTTGACGGGGCAATGCTCTGGGGCGCCTGTATGAGGCACCGGCGGAAGAGTTGCAGTATGCCTGTGTAGCCTTCATACATCACACATATGTATATATATGTACTTGCTCTGACTCGGAGCAGCCATAGGGCCGAAATTAAGGTTATTTGATGATACCTCACATGGTATTGTGGAAAGACTACGAAAACGCGTCGACAGGTCGAATACTTGTGCTCACCGTTGTCTACAACGAGCACGAACTTCATAAAAGTACATAACATTTGAGGCAGATTTACAAGTATACGGTATACTAAACAATGGTCCCATCGAGTACAAACATCCCTCGGACTTCCATGGCAACGTAAACCGTACTAGCTACAGTATCAAATCGCAAGAAACCCAGGTGACAAAGAAAACAGAATAGGTCATACATAAAAGTGAACCAGGTGGCTCAGGAGACCATCAGGCATATCCGAACGATTCGACATATAGGGTCACGCTCGGTCCTCCACTGAGAATACTGGAAGGTCCAGAGACAGGGAAGCGAAGTGCATGACGGACTGCGCGCGATATATTCTGAGATCCGCAAACTAATGCAGTACCCGTAAGTTGCACACCATTGGAGGCCGGTGGAAAGAGTACTTACCGCTCACCGACATACTCCCCGAGGCGATGCTAACTTCTTCTTTGAGCAGTCCATCCAGATCCGATCGTCCACTTTCCATCTTGACCCCGCGTAAAGATAATAGCATTGACGACGTTAAAGAAGTTTTCCTTGTCACAACTTGTTCAGGAATACCGTTCTTCTCTGTTGGAGTTGAAGGGCTGTAATTCTCTTCCATGGATTGTGCCTTTGATAGAGAACCGGTGTCAAAGATACGGATGGATATTGTCAAAGAAGGTGGGGCAAGCTGAATAGCCTTGATAAGTGCTTCTTCGATCCATTGAACATAGCCTATAAAATATGACGTTAGTAGAAGCTATAGATGAGTCATTAATCTGCGCACCAGCTCCGCGTATTGACCAAATGAACACAACTCGTTTGCAGGAACTTTTCCCCTTGCGTACGCTCCTGCGAGAACAATGAGACATCAATGACAATAGTAAAATTAATCCCCGTACTCAATAACGCTCAGGAAGACCGGAAGGGTATATGATATACCAGACCCTCCTGAATTTGATAAGTACTGCGTGATTACGAGACGATGCACAACTCACCTGCCACAAATACGCACGTGTCGTAAGAACCTAGGTCAGGAGACGGTCCGTAAGGGCCGTCTACAAAAACCTTAACTATGCCCTTTGTGTCAGCTACTTCCTTTAGCTTTTTCGTGAACCCTCCATGTACGTTAATCAAAAACACGAGCTCTTTCCAGAATGGAGCGCTTGATCCCAAAACCTGAGTTTCATCATTTCCAGATTGATCCTCCGTTTGGGGGGTTGAAAGCAGACTAGAATCGAAACTCGCAATAGTAAAGGGGTGCGCTTCGAATGGCAGTGTCGACACCGAGGGCATGATTAGATATGCCGTTTGTCCTGGGGACCAATGGAAATGCGCGGGCCGGCGTAAGCGCAATCGAACGACATCTGCAGAAAGCATTTCAGTCGTTGCATCCATCGTCCCAGATCCTGACTTGAAGCCAAAGTAAGAGTGGTTGAATACAACAAGTCGAACCACTCGGATGAAGCGGTCGAGAGCCCAGAACACAAACGATGGCCATATCCAGTACGACCCGCTGTTCACTACAAGTCAGAAACCAAGCTGTCTGTATTGATTCGCACTTACTAAGCACCCTTGGTGTGGTAATATCCTCCCACCAGAAATATCCTGTGCTCTGTGTCAATGACAATTACAAGCGAATAGAACTGCTACACCAACAGGACGCCAAGGAAGTGGACGTAAAAGAAGACCTCATAGATATCACTACGAACAGGACGCAGTGATACTATGATCAGAATAGAGAAGGCAACCATGGCAGTGATACCGGCACGAAGCCATGGCTCGCTCAAAGTCTCCTGGAAGCTTTCGGTAAACTCCATTAGAAAAGCGCAAGCATAGATCGGAGGTACGTACGAGGGAAAGCATACTATTTCGCCCGCTGCATGTACCCAAAGGAGCATGAAACATGTCCTAGCCATCATTCGATGAATATAATTGAGCTTCATATCCATGAGTAATTAAAGTGCCGTATCGAGAATAATTAAGGGCCGTACCCTATCGTAGCTGATGCCCGTGACCACTGACGCAAAAACTCAGCGATACGTCTGATTCGTAGCTTTTCCACTTACGAGACACGAGATTGTTCTTTGTGCCAAGAGCGGTGACAATGGGAAATTGACTGCTCGCCAGCATGGCTATGCGGTTGCTCCAGTAGATGATATCAAGTTTCTGACCCTCGACTGAGGTGGCTGCGTGATTTAGTTAATGCAGTGCAAATGGAACACACGCGATTCCGTGAGCTCACTGTTAACGAAGGCATAGATCAACAGAAGGGCGATGTATGCCACAGTGACAAAAACCTCTGCCATATTGAGAGTATAAGATTGCCCTATTTCCAGGGTCCACCGAAAAGTAACAACACGATAGACATTTACGATCGCGAGCGGGATACGGCGGAGAGAGAATCTGTATTGAATGTCATTGGTGGCAGCAGTTTCTTCGTCAGACTCGTAGTGTCTGCGCCTGGCGAGTTTGGAGTGGATGCGTGAGCCCCACTGGAAGCAGCCTACTACGAAGAGAAACGCAGCAATAGTATACCACACTTGTTCAGGGTAAGCATCATTTTCATGCACGAGTGCAATTATGTCAGCTTCGGATAAATCAGAAGACATCCTAAGTGGCAAGGGAGGGAAATGGGCTGAGGCAAAAGGATAGGGACGAGTAGATTAAATATGAGGACCATAGTGGTGCGACTTTGCATAACCGACCCTCAGGCATGCTGTAGGGATCAATTCTCAGGATTACATCACCGAGGTATTCGCCTTGTTCACCGTTCAGGACATGATAGCTGTTGAACCTCGGGGAAGTTTCCTAATCCTAGGATTATCAAATAGAGGATATCGGGATTTGATCTGACCTCAGCCTATCCGGAAAACAATCTGCGGAACCGAAGCATTTTAGCAAAATGAATGGGTGCCGGTGAGATAACCATCAGAGATCTTATCTAGACACTGCGATTATGATAAAGGAAATTCAATGCAGTCCAAATTCAACTTGACGTTGAGTCAGTGCTCAGGGTTACTCTTTCCTGCGCGCTCAGGGCGAGGTGATGCTGTCATAAGTAATATAATTGTATAACATCAGTTATGCGTACTTGCCTGGGACCACCAACCCATGGCCTGCAAATTCAACAAACCACTTCGCGGAACCTGAAAACTTCTTGAATTGGGCTACAATTTATGACATCTATCGATGTGTTGCCAAATGATGATGTGAAAGTCTGTGAAGTGAATTCAAGGTACGACTTGCGCTGTTGATCTGAAGTGAGTGTTGTTACCTTTGTTTACAAGGTCAGTGACTGGAACTGAGTCCAAGCACCCGCTAAGCACTGAGTATTTCAAATAATTTTTTAACATGTGCAAATTCTGAGTGGCGCAGGGTGGATATATATGGTATTTATTTCCCATCACCGGAAAGATTCCATGTCCGAGCCTTGTCCCGAACCTGTTCGATACTTTGAAAGCATCATTTCATGCACACGCGCTCACACCGTACTAGGCCTGCGGCAAACTTCCGACTTGAAGCGCTGGACTCTGTTGCGGTGAGACGGTCTCTGACAGACAGAGAAATATGTTACTGTAAATGGAGCGCACGTTCGCCATCAGAAGACAGCGGCTGCCTCTCCCAACTTGCCAAGAACTCACCGGTTCACCGATCCGGGCTAGTCACCAACCAATGTGGAGGTCGTTTGGAAGACTTGATTCATTCATATCAGCCCATTGCCAGCATATGATGAGAACCACGTTCTCATCCCGCAGTTCACATGGCTTTTTGGTGGCTATCCGAGGACCGAGTCATCGCCGGTCAACAAATTGAGGTACGAAAACTCATCGTTTTGACACCGCCTGCGGTAGCTATGCCTTCATGTTGCTGTTTCAATGCATCACTGATCAGAGGCTCTGAATCTTCACCTCGGTATGTGTTTACTCCGATCATTGATGTCCGTACATTAATTGCCTTCATAGTAACATCGCAGAGGCTATCCAAAGCAGGATCGTACGATGTTGTACTTATACTATTACAGATTATCAACATACTCGATATTCATCACTGAAGGATTGCAGCTCATGTAAGTTCATACAAAGTTGTATTTTACTGGCGCCGTCGCCATTACTATTTTACACTGCTAAGAAACGGTGAGCAATGTTCCTGCAGATCGCACATTACTATGCGTTAAATTGATCATCAAGCATACTTCGTGCCATTGTTCTCGGTCGCCAAGAGTTGGCAGACCCAATGCGTTACTTTGCTGTATGAACCAGTAATGGCTCGGATATTTCGACAACCAATAGGAGCTGAGCTTATTGTCAACCTCCCACTATGTGAGTGGAGGCAGATACGACCACGACCCGGATCAGAATCAAATTTGTTGGATATAGACTCATCTTTTTCCTCTATGATTTACTTCTTTTCTGTACACTAATTAGTTTGGGGGTCTCGGTCAGAAGTTCCTCCCGCAGTAATCTTCCCGTGAAACCCGCACCAGCCCTATCAACACTGCATATCGCACCATGCGTACGCTGGGTTTTGTGGATTACTATTTCTCGTGCGGTGGTGCTAGATTACTCCGTCGCCGAGATCTCAGAATCTCACCAGCTCTTGTGGCCACCTTCCACTTTTACTCCTTTTGCTGAGTGCTCGGTCGAGCGACAGAAACATCCTAAATCGCCTTTGTTCTCAACCTTCCGATGGTTTCTCTGCGGTGTTCCGGTGAACAGCGACGCATTCGATGCAAACAGGCTTTCAAGATGTTCTAGATGACCCTAGAAAAGGTCGTTCGTCATTCTTGACCGTTCTGTCCGCTATCGTAGTAAGCAGGGGGTCTAGTTTCTTTGTCTTCAGTGAATTGCGATAGGCTTCCACAGATTCTACTAGTTACCTTCATTATCCTGCGGTCATGCGTTGACCCTGTGTTCCAAACCGTGCCTTTTTGACCCTGGAATAGATCAGAATTAAGCATCTTACAACCGTCGGTCTCACTGGTAACCTGACTCAAGCATCTCCATGCTTCCCTTAGTTTCCTATATGTTTCTTAACTGACACCCCGACGACTCTCATTAGTCCAGACATGAAACCGTACAGAAGGCACTTCCGCACTTCTAGTCAGGACATGGATACGGATGCAAAGGATTTTTGGGGAATCGGGTCTGAGTCCAAGAATACGAGGGGGGGCAAAGGACGCCTGCACTCGCAGCTCGTATGACTGTATCGACGAAGGGTGAACAGGCAGGACGCGGGTAAATCGAGTTTGGGAACGCAATTGGCTCTCCAAAGGGCTTTGTTGTTTGTTTCCTCTGATAGTAGTCGACATGACGAGGGTGACAGGGATAATCATATCCAATTTGAGTGGCGTGAAACCGCACACCGTGACATATGGCTACATAAATTGTTCCATGCAGGTACTGCCAAGGGTTGAACGAGATATCCCCGTTCTTTGAAACGGCAGCTCTACGGTCTCGATGAGTCCATCATGTCATCGATAGTGGCCATGTCCCTGAATTGTGTTATTATATCGTGATCTGACGCAATGTTCTAGTGCTCCCCGACTCGGAATTGGCACACTACTAGTAGTGCGCTAGCAATAGCTATGCGCCACAGGGCTGTCCCAGGAAGTCAACTTGAATGTTTGCGACTGAGCAACAGGTACATTTTCTCCTCGAATCGACTGCACTGTGGGCATCCTCTGAAAAAGTTAGGCAGTCCGAGGTCATAACGGTGCTACAGACAGACGAGCAAAAATGTCTGTCGAATAGGCGTCTCACAGGCTTGTCGGCGAGACTTGAACTAGCTTTTCTTCGGTGGCGATCAACGTGTCTTTCAGCCCATTTGCCTTGACATCATAAATGAAACAGAATTCTCGTCCTTGGCCAAGCTTGTGACAGGAAACGTGATGCAAGGCAGTTGCAGTCGGGAGTTCGCGAAATGAGGAACGAGGAACGCCGAGGTTGTCAAGAAGGGTATAAGATTTAAGGCAGGCTCCACCGCCACACTGTTGTTTTGCGACTCGGAGACAGCTTTAAAACTCGGAGGATTTTCCGACCCAGTCTAGGGCAGCAATGTCACCCGAGCGAGCGACAATCTCCTGTAAGAGCCGACCGAGCGCATTTTGTCGAGGACATGTAGGAAATGGCCGGTCTATGTTAAGTTTCAACACGGAGCAGCGTGACTTGTCTGTCACATTAATAGACCCTCACGCAGACCAGACTGGCCAAATCCCGCACTTTCTGATTTTATCTAGTCTCGCCGTAGATGACAGGTACACGGTGGACGCGGAAGATGCCAAACAATGGGTATGCAGGGTCATCCTACGACGTCGTGACACGTGTCGACGCCCATTGCAATTTCTCTCGCGCACCATTCATGCCCGGACGAAAGGTGACAAAAGCCTGTGTATCTAAGCAGTCAGCGAAGGGCCGAAGGCTAAAAATGAGCGCTTGAGCGCTGAGCCTCAGAGGCTACTCAACGTGGATTTTCGACTTTCAAATACTACTTGCACCCCACATCCGAGTCGCTTACTACAGTAATCCACCACTCGTGATGATCGAAGACCATAGGCCAGATCCTCCTCCGGAAACCTGCGAGGCAACCGTTCGTGAAAGCTCGGCATGTATTCTCAAGGCTTATTCACTGTGGATGAGCGTTTATGAAATTTATCGCTGCTTCTGATGCTTTCTTTGTCCAGAGCTGTTGAACCTCGTAGTCGCGTCAAGCAAACCATTCTAGAAACTCCCTGTAAGTAGACTGCTGAGTTGCCTGAATCTGAATATGGCTGACATTGTACAGAAACGCTTCAAGCAACCGCATTCCTGCGACCCAGAATGTAGAACTTCAAGATGCTTCACCGAATCAGAATATCGAGGTAGGTGCTCCAAATCCTGTTCAGGTTTCTTATCAGGCGCCCAGGACACATCACATCCGCACCCTTTCACCGATGACAAGCATCTCACCACAGCTGAAAAATCCAGTCGCTGCGTCAACCAAGGCACACCCGGAGGACATGATCCCTCCCCAGCGGCACCACCGACTCATATACCCCCATCTGACCCCTTCATGCAACGTTTCAAGAATTCCTGACAGACGAATCATCCAGCAGAAACTTCTTCGTGGAGAGAACGAAGGCGCGACAACGCGACCTTGCATTTGCATCACTACGAGTGATGGAAGGTGGTTTTTGATCAACCAGTAGCTTTTGTTCCACCTTGCCTTCGACTTTTAGTTTGAGCGATGACGAAACCTTTGTTCAGATCTGCTTGTGCGTATTCAAATTCACACTTGATTCAAAGTATCAACGTTGTCCACACCAGACCAGACATAGATTCTTACTCTTCCTGTGCACCGAGACGCCCCGATCATGCAATGAAGGCGATCTTGACGGAGGAAGCAGAAGGGTGGGGTGCCCATTATGGAATATCCTGGATGCCATTTGCCACGAGCTCGAGCTTGGTCTACCTCATTCGAGACGATGGGAATCTTGACGTGTGCAGGAAGATTCATGCAAGAGCAAGGACATTCGCATCTAATTCCATTCCTCTGCGAAGTTTGCCGTTACCGATGTATCCTGGGACCCTGCCTGGTTGTGACGATGTCAATCCCGGTGGGAAGCCAAATGCCACTGGCCAGAAGACTTTGGCTGGTTCATGGACTACCTCGATGATGTTTCGGGCAGCAGGTGATGACGTCCTTTTGCTACTGGGTAGCATGGGAGTGAGCAACATCATGCCTCACCATGTACGCCATGCTACCTTTCGCATTGGGACCTCCCATGTATTATGACTATCATGATTCGTCCGTTCGCGATTTCGTTCCTTGCTTTCGTTCTCATCTATTTTACCACCACAGTAAAATCTATTTAGTTTTGTCTCTCTGAAATTTTGCGGGAACTCTCAGATACTGACAAGGACCTGTGCAGTGACATAGTGACGGCGAGGAAAGCGGCCATGGTGCAGACAGCAGGCCAGACTCAGAGCATTCAAGAGATCATACTGTCCACTTATTTTCATTCGTCTGTGGTCTATCTATCTTGCTAGGGCCAAGCTCCTTGGCATAAACACCGGATTTCGGTGGGTGGGAGTGCATTCAACGCCCTCAAGGCTCAGACACTCGTCCATCGCAAATTGCGTCTTGCCACATAAGGTGTCATGCAAGATTAGCGTTGTGAGACTTCATTCTTATCCACGAATCATCAGCACTTCAGTGCACAGGAGCGATCACCTTCGCAACAAACTGAAAAATACAACTTCAAGTCTAAATCGTGTAGGTATACAGTCTCAAAGTCCAGAATATCAAAGTCTTTGGCAAATAACAGGTTGTGCGTGACTATGACTGGATGATACACGGGAAGTCGTCAGATTGTCTCAAGAATACTTTAATCAAGGTGAAAGGACGCACGGAATGAATCATATGCCAATATGCACGAACACTATGCGCTGGTCCAAGGTCATTGAAATGTCCTTGTCACAAGCCAACGACTGGACCGCTTGGTGCAGCGCCCAAGCAGCTCGTTTGGGATTCATTGGACGGGTCACGGTATCGATATCAAAATTGCGTCGGAGTAGACATATTGATGCGGTTTGCATGTCCGATGGCAGTCGATGATTCAGATCCAGACATCGCCGCACGGATAAAATGAGATGCGGGAGTTTCTTCTCGACAGATTTAATCCAAGGTGCCGAGGCGCTGGTTAACACGACATAATCCGTTTAGGCCGATCACCGTGGTAGGCGGAGTTGGTCAAAGGAGATGGATTTAATTAACAGAGCTGCATATCTTCTTGGTATAATTTTTTTTCCGAGTTTATTTTCACTGCTCACGAGAACAGGTATAAAATCAACGTGGTTGGGTTGAAATGGCCTCAGAGACGAACGCCTCCTCTTGCAGTGAGTAGCCCTCTTGCGCTACACTATGCACATTTTATTGACTTGACATGCAGTAACTCTTCTACTAAGACTCTTTCATAGCAACGTCATACACATTGCACAGTCAGACTTTTGTCAATGTGTGGTTTGCTCACACGTTCGCATTATACTATGCTGATGACATAGTTATACCAGATACCATGAAGCTCATTCAAATTGTTTACTTCACAATCCTTGTCACTGCCAGTGCCGCTGCCAGTGTCACTGGGGTAAACAGAGCCACAGCCCCTAGGGGTATAACCTGCGACAGCCCATGCGCCCCCTCCTCACTCTATTTGAACTGCAAAAATTGGGCAGGGACAGCACCTTTCTATGTGGGCAACGGGTGCTGGGCGTGCTGTACCGGATTGAAGTAGTTGAACCTCTCGGTTAGTTTTACTCTCAATACAAGCAACATGTGTGTCGTGTACCGTTCTCCAAAAATATTGAGTACTCGACATCGATAAGGTCCCTGCCAGGTGGAGTAGCTTGCTTATTTATTGGCGAACGTGAAATCCTAGCCGTCAGTGTTTAACGAACTGCAATTCACGATACCAAAAGACAACGTTCATTATGACGGTCGAGGGCATAGAGACGTGCATAAAATCATTACTCTTCGTACGTACTTTATCCATTTGAATCTGAGACTACACCGTCAAGCACAAGATTAGGGATCAAGACTTCAATACCTCGAAGATGCGAATTATCCTACACTCATGGCTCAGAGAATGCAAGGCAGAGTGAAATTCGATTGTTATGCATGTAGGTCTAGCAGTGCTCGAAGTAGAGGCTCCACGCAGGTGCCATTGATAATATGTGAGATTCCTGTTCTTTTTCGAAACTACCAAATCTCCAGATCTATCATCATGAGTTAGTCCTGAACACCTGGCCTTGACAAGTCCATTAAAAAATCAATGTTAAAAGTCTCTAGCTTGACATCGAAAAAAGGTGTAGGACAATAGATAGGGATGGCCATCTCGGTATCGACTACGAGTCCATGTAAATGCGAAATGCACAAGGGTGTTGCAATAAGATGTAGACAGGTTAGAACGAAAGCAAGGGTGAGTACAACAGTTTCACAACGTCACTCCTATGATACATCGACATCCAGCAGAAGCCAAAAAGACCTCAGAGAACCCGCGGCTCGTCCCACGCCAGTGAGCTGTCTGCCTGGTCTTCTTGATCAGATTCTTCTGGTCGATACCGACCTTCGCCAGCGTCGTGATCATGAAGTCTCTGGCTGAAGTTGGACGAGGGGTTGCCGTCCAGGTGCCAAGGAATGAGGGTGCGGAGGGGTCTGCAGACGCGAAGGGGATTGGGACCAATCACGCGAGGGGCGTGGATAAGTCAATATAGGAACGGGAGGCTCAGGGCTCAGGGAGTGTGAGCGCGACGGCCCGGCAAATGTTTGGCTGCTTATTTCTCCTGATGAATACTTGTATAACGAGGGTGGTATGGGCGAGGGGGCAGGGATGTCAGATGGCGAGTAGTAAGAGGGACTGGGCGAGACACTATCTTCCGTGTTGTAGGGATTCGGTAGAGCGGCCTGGGGGACCAGCTCGATAGCATCTGCGTCATTGTCGTCAGGACTTTCCTATCAGAACCTGCGGGGGATCTTGAAGATGTCGGCTCGTAACTTTGCTGCAAAGCCAATTCTGACGCTGAACGAGCGTGAGGTTCGCGAAACATGGGTGCAGTCTCAAGGTCAATAACATGTTTGTTCTTTGATTCCTTGCGATGGCGGATTCCTAGACGATCTTTGAGATCCCCTATAACCCACATCTCGCGAACAATGTCTTTATCCAAGGGCATATACGTCGACTTGAAGAACTTGGTGAGGAACCGAGGCGCTAATCGATCGTCAGTTAGGATAGGGTTTCCAAAAACACCATTTCGACTCACCCAGTGCCACCAAAACGGAGAAAACAACTGTCGTCCAAAACGTGACATTGGAGAAGAGAATCTCTACCTCGTCTATAAATCCATCCGTATTAGAGAAGAAGGTGTTGACTGGAAGGAACGAGTAGATCACGATCCAAAGCATCATGACAAGGGATGATCCGACGATGACTATCCAAGTGATAGAGGTCCAGCTAGAATAAGCAAACATTTAGCGTCATAAAACCAGCATGACAAAGCGCGCTCACTAGTGAGTGTTCATCCCGACATATGTATTCGCTGCAAAAATAGCAGCAACCGCAACGGTTGTCCCGAAGTCAGCTAAAGAATCAATCCCTCTGCCGTTGGACGCCACAGCCAGTCCAAGCTGCCAGACCAAGTAGGGAATGAAGAAGACGACCGCAGATTGGTAAAGACCATCGAGCATGTAGAACCAGAACTTTGTCCGCGTGTACTCCAAGCCCCTGATGCCACGAACATAGAGCTGAGGGAAAGCAAGGGCAGCTTTAGCATTGATATCTTGATCGAATGCTAGAACAAACAGTTGAGCGGGGCCCAGTAAATAACGAACAAAGGCTCACATCCGAGCACGATGACAGGCAGTGAGGTAAAGATGAGGTTGTAAAACAAAATAAAGCTGTAATCATATAGATAGGTTGCGTCGAAGCTTTCAAAAGTGTTGTCAGCTAGTGCATATAAACCAAGAACAGAAACTCACTAGCAAAATGGCATAAACCAAAACATGGCCAACGTCCAGATAACGTTCTGAAGCGACAAATTAACGGCAGGTACAATCAAATAAAATCGCGCAACATACCTTGTAAAAGAAATTACTATGCATATCAGCAATACGCTGGTACGACCACCTCCCATGGACGAGCAGCAACTTCGTCAAAAACCTGAATTGACCAAAGGCATAATCGGCAGACATAGCAGCTTGTGAACCTTCGTGTCCAAGTAGACCACAACCAACATTGGCTTCTTGAATCATTGCGACGTCATTAGCACCATCTCCTATGGACAACGTCATCGCCTTCCGACCCTCCTTGACCTTGACACCGAACTCGAGGTCAGTAAGATACCTTAGGAAGTGACGGTATACTCACCAGCTTCACGGTCAATGCCTTCTGGGCAGGGGAGACACGACAACATACGACTGTTTCGCACTGGGTACCAAGGTTCAGGAACAAAGGCTTGATATCCGGCGTCAGGGCATGACGTAGGGTGTCACCATCGATAACGACCGCAAAGGAAACTTTAGCGCCAATGACAAACCCACGTTCCAGTGTTTTCGAAGTAGGCGGACCCAATATCGACGCAATCTTGTTGAGACCCGCTTCTATCTGAGCAAGAGTGCCTTCGGGGGTATCAGCAGACAGGATCATGACTTCCATATCTTGCTTCAGGAGGTTACAGCTGAAACCTAGGGAACGATGAAATCCAGTTGTGATAACATGGAAAATCCCACTTACCAATCTCGATCGCGGTCTGGAGTTTGTCGCCTGTGAGAATCCAAAGCTTGATTCCAGCGCGATGGAGCATTTCAATAGCTTCCGGCACTCCTTCTTGTAGCTTGTCCTCAAGAGCCGTAGCGCCCAGTATCTGCAACGAGTGTTCCACTTCAGCAGCCGCGTTTTCAATGGCCTCGTCACGGTTGTCGATAGCCGATTGAGCATCTTCATACGTCCGCACCCACCTCAAGAACTCATCCTCCTCGAGCACTCTATAACCAATGCAGAGCGTGCGCAAACCACCATTAGCGAAAAAGTCCATGTCCTTCGTCGTCTTCTCCTTCAAAGCAGGGTCCACATCCTCGGCAAGCCGTTCGTATATGACGCTGTCCGCCCCTTTGCAGTATAAGATGAGGCGTCCATCTGATGCACGAACGATGACGCTCATGCGCTTACGTGCGCTAGAGAACTCGAGCGTCTTCATATGCGTGAACCGTTCAGGTTGGCCAAGCACTTCAATGTCAATCGTGTCCTTCTGCTTGCCCACAAAAGGAAAGCCAACATCCCGCGCAGCAGCAACCAACGCCGCCTCATCTGGAGACTCAGCCTTATACTCCAAGTGATAAGGGCGCTCCTGTGGCTCAGGCTTATCTGCCAAGACCGAGTGGCACACAGCCAAGGCACGGAAAAATGCGACGATATGAGAATATTGTTCCGTCGAGCGGTCTGCGAGGTCCTCTGCAAGCTTGGGCGAAACAAGCGTGAGTTTGTTGACTTGCATATAGCGGTTCTTGAATAGCTTTGTCAGCTTGGTAACCATAGTATCCTTGAGCGATGCAAGCTTTTCTGCCAGCTCTTCTGGTGCTACTGCGTCAGCCTGGCCTTCCCTCGTTGCAGCCCCGCGCTGCGCTTCTGTAACGCCCTCTCCGTATATGACTCCGCGCACCGAGCATTTTTGGAACTCCATCACGTTTTGGGTCAGCGTTCCAGTCTTGTCGGAGAATATATATTCGATTTGCCCGAGATCGTCAGAAATACCCCAGTTCTTTGGGACACAGGCGGTGTTGAAGGGCTTGTAGTACATATCCAAATCTTGAGCGATGAAGTAGGCTTGGATGGTCTTGACGATCTCAATGGAGATGAACAGGGAGATTGGGACGATGTTCTGAAAGGCGATGAGACATGACCTGAAAGAGTGTTAGCGAGCGTGAAGATGATGCTACAAGGACATACACGAAAGTAACTAGTGCGTTGAGTGCATTGGAACTGGTGGGTTCAACACCTTGCTCATATATATACGTGCTTGTGGCCGTTAGCCCATCCATGACGCCGTTGATGGTCGCCGACACCGAACAGATGATGACCAAGAACAGGAAGTTCATTATGACATTAAAGTTTGTCTCCTTCGCGATCTTCGATTGCTTTGATGGTGTCTGTCCACCGTTCAAGTATATCTTGGTGTCCGGGCCGGTGAAGACGACCAGTCCGATGATCCATGCGGTGTTGCGCACCGTGCAGCCACGAAGGAGCAGTTCATTGATAGTGACACCCTCTTTACGAGGTTCGCCCGTGGTAGCATCCGTATATCGCAGAACCCCATTGTATACATACAAGTTCTGGTGCGGAGGTTCTGAATCAAGGACAAAGGAGGATTTTTCGATGTCTTCTTCTGAGCTAAGGGATGCCGTAGCCTGTATTGCCTTCCGTACCTTGAGGTTCGTTTCGCCGTCAAGGTTCTTGGTTTCAAGATAGCACAGTCCGCTTGCATCTGATGTCGATAATACGACGATATCAGCAGGAACCTGTTCATCTTCCCGTAGAAGCACGATGTCGCCGACCTCCAGCTTCTTCCACAACGTCCTCTCCCAACGGGCTGTCCCATTCGTGCGCCTGCTCCAATCTACCACGCCCAGATATGACCGTGAAGGAGATGACTGCACATAGTTTGATAGGGACATACTGTGCTGGCCCCATCCTCCAAGCTCGTTTTCCGAGAGCCCTGGAGGATAGGTATGTAAGTCCACGCTGCCTATACTGCCTTCAATGTCCTCCAGTTGCCGGCCACCTGCCGCTGTAGGAGGGTGAGATCCGCCCAAGGCTGTAATACTATCGTTCATGTCTGTGGTACTCATGCTGACCCTATCCTCACCGCCCTTGCTCAAGATGACCTGCTTTCCTTCGCCTGCTTCCTTCTCCCGTAATTTCTGCACTCCACGAGTGATTTTTCCAGGAGCATTTATATGGAGCAGTCGTTGGTACCATGGTCGGGGATCAAGGGCCAAATTTACATTGCGCCACTGCCCGAGTCGCGTTATTGCCGAAGTGTTCACTTCCTCATCGAGTCGGGCTCGTCTATAATCCTCGACAGGCGTCCTTGACTGCTGTCACGACTAAGATGAACAACAACGGAAGAGCTGCCGTCTGCGGAGATGCGGCACCGAAGACGGAGAAAACTGCGCAAGTCTCATCAGCAATTGTTGCTCCACAAGGCACTGCCCTGGTTATCCATATGAGCTGTACTCACGTTGAAAAATCACGAGCGCTAAAAAGTAAATATTGGCGATTCTAGGGGCAATCAATGGGGCTACTGTTTTATCGACAGTGACACGTACCGGTGAAATTGTTCAAATAAGTTCTTTGGCAGAAAGGTCAAGAGTGTATACCCTATGAGCAATGTTACACTCGAATCGGAACTGAAATTCAAATATGAAACATACTGCTTGTGCGAACTTTGTTCCTTGCATACCGGGCGAGCGGTTCGCCATGATGGTCTGTCTCCATAGCAGAGAGTGGTTGATTAACGTATATGTTCCTCCGGGCGCCTGGAATCCGCGATTGCGGGGCTGAGGGCGCCTCAGCTACTTGGGACGTTGATGGGCCTGGTTCTGAAATCTTTGGTTTCTTTGCATTCTTGCGAGAAAACAAGAATCTCTTCTGGGTCCGCCTCTTTTGCGCTCTAATTTCTGAACGGATGGATTCTGCGATAGTGGAAGCCGCTGTGTGCACTGTGCGGAGACGAAGTTGTGGGTCTATGGTATCATTCTCGTCGATGTCGGACGGCGGTGGATGCCGCTTGAACAAAGACATTGAAATGGTGAATTAGTGACCAGGGGTATTGTGAAAGGGCCTGAGGGCCGAGAACCAGCACGGCAAGGTAGAAATCAGGGAAAGAACGACAAGTGGAAAGACAAGCTTGATGTAGCTCGTGTTGTAGCCTTCGCAGCTATGCAGTGCCGCACCAATTTTGGTCTGGTGTGTGATTAGGACCCCGATCACCTCTAATATAAATCGAATTCTGATAGATTTGGATTAGACTCTTGACGTTGAAGCTGTCGAGGACGGTGGTGAAGCAAAGAGTTCAAGTTGTCAACGTGGCCACCGTCAAGCGACTCAATCGAATTATCTCCGCAAGTACATTACTATAGGTACGTTTGACATGATGGCCACGGTCATAATTAACTTCATTTCCAATCGCAGTGATTATTCTCAGCACACGTTGATACATGCAGGCTAAACCATGCAGTGACCATGCCGCAGGGTAAGTACCCCGCATAGTACTGCGCACTGCGGCCCGGGGATGTAATATTGTTTAGGTGATCATTTGAACGAGCGGGTCCCCGACTTTGTCGATGAACCGATGAACATTGGGTGTTTTCAGTCAACGTTTACTAAAATGACCCTTATAGTTTAGTAAAACGTTTCAGAATTGTACTTTGAATACCGTAGTAATTGCAATATCTTCATTAATGTTTTTCATATCTGCCGCTCCACTATACAAGTTAGTGATAATCAAAACTGTATGGAACCTGCTGAATCTGATTTATCTCAGTCTTCCATCTCAGACGTTCAGAGTCTATTGGGTTCATATCGACGCTCTTTCGCCTGAACTAATCAATGTTTTGCAACTAAGAAAGTCTCATCAAGTGAAGAGCTACTCTATGTACTAGATGTCCACTAGAGTTCGCGCATTTTTGGGAAAACATCTATAACTCTACAACACATCCACATAAAAATATGATTTTTTGACGGATGGATAGCCTGACATCGAAAGTACAAGGCCTGCTAGTTTTTTCTTTTAAAATCGACGTGTTGAGTCCAGCGGAGACTTACCGCGCAAAAAGTGCGGGTTTCCCTAGAGTTCGCGCATTTCGTCACACCATGTCACACGTCTGCCGCGGTGCCGTTTCACATTCCGCACCGTTCGAAAGTCGACTGCAGCGTATTTCGGCACAGCGGAGTTTAGATGTGTGTAGTCTCATTGTAACGCTTTGGATAGATTGTCACGTCTGGGCTGTATTTCATTCACAGCAGATGATTCTGACAAGCATGTAGCCCCGGAGAAATTTATTTTAGCATTCTATAATCATGTATAATCATCATATCGCATCCCAGATTTTTCCGTGGTGATCTGACCTTCAGAGGGAGTCATCTATGCACAAAATGAGCCGCGAACACCTATAACTCGACCATGGCACGAGATCCACTTCATTTCTTGCCAAAAGAATTACATGGTCATGTGTATTATGTTTGGAGAAACCTATATACAACATACATAAGGATTCTGTGCAGAATTGCGTGTGCTAGAGCCAATGCGCGAACTTGTGGGACTATCTAGTATACCTTTAGGTCCAGTTTGGACAACGACTCCGGGTTCAAAATTTCTGGCTCAAACCGCACGTGATGACCTGACTGCGTTAATAAGCATCTATTATCTAATAAAACAAAAGATACTCTAGTATCATCACAATGTCTGATAAATCAAGCGGCAGCTCTTCGCATTCCTTACGTTCCCGGGGTACTATAGATGTGACATCAGCTGCTGCATCTTGCGGAACGACCAGGAAGGCTCCTGTGGTGTGGACGAAGGCAGAAGAAACCACCTTTCTTGAGTTCCTTCTGCAGGCCCTTCCTGCATCAGGTGATGGGGGCTTCAAGGCGCCCACCTTCAATCAAGCATATGCGCACCTCAAGATAAAACACCCGCATCAAAGGGGCGCAGAAAAGGTTGGCACAGTTTGCAAAAATAAGTGGACACCGGTATGTTTCCAGTGAACTTTCAGCTGCCAGCAAATCAATGACATATATTTTTATAGTTAAAGAAAGCATACTAAAGTGTTGTTGAAATTAAGTGTACTTCTGGTTTTACTTGGAGTGATGATCATGGAGCGGGTATCATGGACAAAAAGGATGACGTATGGGCACGCTTTATAAAGGTACGTCATCGCAAATAGACTGCATGCATACCCCTCTACTGATATTGTTTTCAGTCGCATCCTCATGTGAGGCCCTTCATGATGAAGGGCTTCGACCACTTCGATATCATGCAGCAGTTGATGCCAAGCAAGTCAAAAGGCTCTCACGTCTTCCGACCTACCACTGCCACCAATGCCACCACACCATCCTCCATCCCCACAGCCACAGACAACACACTTCCAGGGCCGCCACCATCCTCAGTGGGCCCGCCACCATCCTCAGTGGACCCGCCACCATCCTCAGTGTACCCGCCGTCATCCTCAGTGTACCCGCCACCATCCTCAGTGGACCCTCCATCTACCTTTCTCACTCCTTCCACGGAAGGGTCTACCTCTGCCGGTGGCTCGGCATGGACAAGTATAAGCCGAGGAAAGCGAAAACGCAGCGCACTTTCGCCTGCGTCAGCTGCAGGCTCTCAGAAATGAGGCCGGCCACCATCTGCCACGCTATTGGCACAGCAGGAGGGCACCGAAATGATGAAAAGCCTCGTAGAAGTAGTACATGAGATGCAGAAGACTCTTGTATTAGCGCTGGCGCTGCCGCCAGTGCAGCCACAGCCTCAGCCTTCCACGCATGTTGGAAGCGCCATTTCCCTCCTCAATAAATATACAGACCTCACGAGCAAAGAGCACTTGGGCATTGCCAACTTTCTAGCTGAACACGAGAACCAGGCGATCATTTTCTACTCGTTGGATGAGGTGACAAGGCTTGAGTGGTTGGAAGAGAAGCGAGTCCTTTGCGGTGGTGCACCACGGCGATCAATTGACTCACAAGAATATATGATTGTATTGTAGCGGCGTACAGATCATTTCGTAGTACAAAATTCATGTATTACCTACAACTATGGCAATGGGAGTCCCCTTCGTGCATGTTCTGCGAGATAGTCAGTCCACATTGCTTGCGCAATTCCGTCCCTATGAGCATCTGCGCGTCTGTGCTCAGCAGCATCCGCCAGTCCCTCTGAATGTGCGCCAGATCCAACACCATCATCCTCTGCTAGATCGTGCCCATACTCGAGGGCAAGATCAAATATATCACCATTGTTTCTTCGCATGAAGTTGTGAATGGCACAAAGCGCCGCTGGGATCCGGGACTGGATGTCCATGGAGTATTCAGGCGCGCATATTAAGATGCGCCATTGTCGTTTCATGACGCCGAATATCCGCTCGATGATGTTGCAAAGTGCAGCATGTCGCAAGTTGAACAACTCTTTCGGGTCTTTAGGCCTAGAAAAAAATTAATAGACAGACTGACAAAAGAAAAAAGGAACTCACACGAGATTAGCTTGATGCCATTCCTTCAGGTGGTAGTGGACACCTTGATAAGGCACGAGAAGTGCGTCGCACATACCAAAGCCAGCATCGGCTAGAAGATACTTGTCTTTGGGCACACGCAAATCATGAGAGCATGCGTCGTTCCAAAGGGAAGCATCGGCAACTGAGCCGTCCCACCCTGTGAGTGAGTAAATGAAAAAGAAGTCGAGGTCGCAGATAAACAAGCAGTTCTGCGATAAAAAGCCTTTCCTGTTGCGCAGGACAACATGGTCTTCAAGCGGCGCAAAAACGCGGATGTGGGTGCCGTCAACAGCACCGATACAGTGGTCGAAGAATCGGAATCAAGGGTCAGCGTGAATTGCCGCAGAAAGTGGGGTGTTTTGGTCCGGGAAGCGGACGTTCAAGGTGTAGAAGGGAGCCGATGAAAAGAACATGAGTAGGTGTTTAAAATATCTGCAGAAATCAGCACAACTTGAACAATAGTTATATCAAAAGTTAGGCACTTACCTTGTAATCGTATCGGGAGAGCACTGGAACCTTTCTCCGACGTGGCGAGACGAAAGTCCAGTAACACACGTGTAGAGAAAAATGCCGAGTTGCTCTGACACGCTTACCCCATTCCAGGACTGGACAAAGCCGTGTCGGTTAAGAACCGCTAACAGCTCATCGAAAATTTGAAGGTCGACGCCGAAATTGTGTCTGATCCTGTCTGGATGACCACTGATCAGTTCATATACCCATGCTTGCCCGGTAAGTATGGATGTGTGGTAAGGAATTCTTTCAGCGCGGGATAAGAATAAAAGATGGTATAGATGTGTGACCTGGGCGACCACAATGGTGATGATAATGACCACGATTTTGTGTCGTCAATCGTGTTGCATTTGCGCTTCAATATCCATGGCAGTGATGGATATGACACGCATATATATGCCAATTATCTATCTATATACTTACACGCCATCTGGACCTATCACGTGCAATCATCACGTGCAGTTTGAATCAGAAATTTCGAACCCGGAGTCGTTGTCCAAACTGGACCTTAGACACGCACCGTGCCAATTATACTGCATGTCGTAAGGTTGCCATGGGTTTTGGTTCATCTTTGCGCCCAGCCAATTGCATCTTGAACATGTTGATGTCGGAGAAAGTGTCGGCAATAACAGACACTGATTGTGGATCATCGACATCGATCATCGTGCAGAGCATCTGCAGTGATTTGATGTGCAGTCCTGGTCAAGAAGACTATGACCAAAGAGCTAACAATACTCCACGATCAAAGCGAGAAAGCGCTTAGTAGCATCGATGAAAGGCAAGTCTGCTGGAGATCCCTCGGTGACCGACGGAGGGGTCAAGGAAAAGACCCACGAGGCCGTAATCACGAATCACAACAAATACGTTCTCCTGGATTACAGGGTGATATATTTCGATGCCATTGCGAAGAGGATGTCGCCCTCCAAATTGGAGGTAGACCCGTTCAACTCCCAACCCAACGGATCCAACCACGGCGCAAACATGTCGGCCCCGAGATCGCGTACGTCGGAGTCGGTCGGACGCCATGGCAGGAGTGCAGTTGGGAAAAAGGACGAGGGAGAAATGAGTAACGAAGGACACACTGTCGGAGGTTTGAGCGTAGTAGGATCGTACGATAAACGAAGAGCTGTATGTATTGAAACAGAGAACATGAAGAGAGTCGAAGGTCCAGCTTCGTCTAGCTCTAGGGTCGCTGACATGTTGAGCTGGGCCGAGCGTTAGCTCGGGGTGGTATGCGAGTAGGTGGAGCCACGCGGGAAGGCGGGATACCTGCTCACGAAATTCGAACATGCGAATGATTTATCAAGTAGCTGTGCAACGAAATATGTATTGAAGGGTTCTGCTAATACGATGACGGCTCAACATTTAACAAAGGGGGGAACTACTGTGCGTGAATTGAGAATTAAAGGCAATTATTTAAGATAAGGAGAGAGGTGAGCGGGTCTCGAGAAGTCGAAGTACGAAGCGGAGTACGATGAACTCGACAGTACAGGTGATCTTACATAAAGGAAAGAACCGGATCTCTGGCTGAGCCGAAATCCTTGTTCCGAGACATTCCGGCGGGCTGCATGACCCGGCACGTGCACCATTAAACCATGTGCCAACTGCCGCGACCAAGTCTTTCTAAATAATGTTTCATGTTAACATTAGTAATATTGTAGTTTGAGTCCTCCCCATATTTCTTTCTTCAAAACGAGTGACTGCGCAATCGGGGGCGTCATCTTAAGACGCGGTCAGTGCCACCTTTCTTCGCTTCTGAAGGCCTGACTTGTGTGTTGCTTGATATTGTCACCATCACTCCCGCGCTAAGGTCATCGTTATCTAGGACTGTTCCGGAAAGTGGATCACAAGCTCTTTCTCATCATAATTCTCGTGGTTCCAGTGGGATGGAAGCCCAGTATATGGGTCCCAGCATCCATTCCCCACTGATGGTTTCCTGCACTGCGAGCCCAACCGAGCTGACTTTGAACAGGTGTTGTTTAGACATTCGAATCAACATCACTGTGCCTCTGCCAATCTGCTTCAAAAGGGTCATCATGCAAATTCGAGAATGAATTCCTGCATGATGCCATCTCTGGGGTAGTCAGGATCTTTGCGCGTCGTATTGCGGACTCACATTGTGATACATGTGTTGGTGGCAGCTTTTTGAGAATCCAGAAAGCCGAAATCTGAAATAGGCCCGCGGAACGCACTATAAATTAGTCTTCAGTGCACCAGGAACCGAGTGGGTTATATATATGATCATGTAAAGTCCAAGGCGCTGATGTAGAGTCCAGACATGTGCATGATGCATGACGTTGTGGTCAACAACAAACAAATTGTATTTTTAGCAACGTGAAACTCGAGTTTGGAACGTCACAACAAACACGGCAACAACAGTTGCAACAGTGATACAACAGTTTCCTGCCCAAAGGTAGTGCTGTGAACACAGGTCACTATCTCCTGGCCTGGCAAGCGAATGATAAAACCTGTCACTGCTTTAGCTGGCCTTACGGCGTAGTAAATATTAACATAATCATAATCCGTTGGACTGCACAGTGCCAGATTCCTCTCGACGTCACGATCACCATATCGTAAGGCGTGCCAAATGAGTTTCTATTTTTGCCTTCCCAAGTGCTGATCTAAAGGCGCTGCGTTTCATGATGATCACGACTTGGAGTCTCCACTGGGTGGAAAGCTCTCATACGTGTGTCGACAACTGTACTCAAGTCGTGTCTGCGGCGACGCTAGTCCCTCTATAACTTGCAAGCAGGTCTAATAGAAGGGAAGGGCAGCGTTTTATTTTTGTTTTCAAAATGTCTTCTGTTTTATTTTCGGAGATTGCGGATCTGCAGATATCCAAGGTGTGTGAAGATCGCAGCTTGATAAACTCGAGGTCACTAACTTGATTCTTTACTTAGTTTGCCAATAGTAAGTGTCCTTTGATCGTCCGTGAAGGAGACGGCGACTAACTGCGTTGTATCGTCAGTCGGTGCTTTTGCGATCCTTGTAAGCATCAAGCCATTCATTGTTATCAATGACTCTTTTCGGCGTCTCAGATATTCGATTTCTGCATCACGTTCCAAGATGAGGTCAAGATCAAAATAATATGTCCGTGGCTGCTGTTCTCATCACTGTCTATAGGTAAAGTGGACCTGGACCAGGCCATGGGATATAATTCGTGTCATCTTCACCATATCCCGATATCTGCCTTTCATAGGCTCTGGATTGACTGCATATGGTGATTCATTATCCTTATCTTTTGCGTATCATTCACCGTTGTCGTAGCTGCACTGCGTGTCAGCGGCCCGGTAAGCATGCACAAGAAATGGCTTCTAACAATAAGCTGATCCCATGACAAAAGCCGGCCCCCAGTCTGGCAGAAAACAGTAAGTCATCGTTTAGTCGTTCATTGTCACTCGACCTAACAACGCGATATTCAGTCATTCATATCATAGGTATCGTGGCTGCGGAGGGTGCGAGTTGCTCTTATCACACATACAAAGGACGGGGGTGATCATCCTTCTTTGACAGGCTTGTTGGTCGTTCGAACATGGGCTTTCTGGCGAAAGAGCAGAAGGGTGCTGATTGGATTGGTAACTTATAGCGTTGTACGTCTTCCGCAGGACTGGAACATTGATCTTTAACTTTGCAATAGGTGACAGTAATCGCCGCTGTTTCTATAAACGTCCTTCCCAATCACCACTTGATATCAGCAGGTGAGTTCATTCGTATTACCAACACGTGTCGCTTTAATATAGCTATCAGGTGTGTCTACGATACCCGGGCAAGACTTCTACTCGTCAAGAAATGCTGCTTTGGTATATGCTATCCTGGCACTCTTCCAATGTGGTTAGTTGCTGTGTAGGGCGTACTGTTGTCCATCTGACCCAACCTGACAGTGATACTGGCCCTTACTGCGTACAAGAAGTTCGGCGACTATCGGAAAATCGAGAGCTCCATCATAAACACCATTTACGGTGGTAGCATATTCTACATGTTGTGCATCATCGGTGCGTAAAATTACTGTGCTTCGACGTTATTGTTATTTAAATTCGTTTCGCAAAGCCATCACAGTCGCCAATGTGATTATTGACGCTGTATTTCCGGTGCGTATGTCTATTAAACCCCAGCCATTCGGCGACTTATCTTTTGTTTCTTGGCTGTAGATTGGCTATACAAACATGCTTGATACGTATGTCACCGGTTGAACTGCCACTGTTGACTATGAACTCACTGATGGGCCATGAAGGCTACAAGTTGTCATTCACAGCGTCCTAGCCTCTCGAATTATGTTCCACCTTCGGAGTAGTCACCATGCCTGCGAGATGCACGCATCATCGATGTTGATGATGTCAGAAGCTATACAATATGGACAGCTTTCGCAAACGCAAACGAACGACTTGGAGAGAAGGAGTAATGTTTGATAGCATGCAAGCGAGCTTAGTTCATCGTCAAGATTGGACATGCTTTTGTTAGAGTCCACTTTAATAAAACGTTCATGTAGCTACGCAAGTAGTATTTGAATAAGTCCTTTGAAAGGACGCCTCACTGCCGTAGACACTGCACGGAAGTAATTCGCTTCCCGTCGGATCCGACCGAAACAATTGTTTCGTGATGTCGTTAGTACGGCACGCTCTCATGACAATTGAATCCCCCTTCTCTTTTGTCTTGCATGACAGCTGAAACAAAGGGAGTGGCATCGCTGTATCGCAGAATTACAGCCTTGCTTAAGTAGGCGTAATAAGTATGGCATGAACGTTCACCTTGACTGCGATCCTCTTCTGTTCTCAAACCATCATGAACTACCAGATTCACCGTTCACAATGTCATATCAACGTCCTCCCAGTTGAGATACTATCGTACATATTCACGCTGGCCACCCACCACACCATATCCACCGATATTGATCCCAAACGAAGATATGAGGTGCCTTTCAGTCCTGAAAGCGTCACAATGCCAACTGTACTCGCTTCTGTACATCGCCACTGGAGACATATTGCACTATCCACCTCGACTTTGTGGTCAAGCCTCTCAATGAGTCTTGAGCAGGTTGTTCGTTGTAAGGTTGGATCAGATGCAGCTGACGAACGCGCATACACCACTTTCCTCGATGTGCAGCGCCTGGCCGCTCATATCGCGCGGTCACGAAACTCCCCAGTGGACATTCTCATCGACACTCGAGATCCAGAATGGGACTTTGAAGAAGAGTAAGTCATGCTTTGTTTGAAGCTCGCATCGGTCCCAACATCTTCGCGCTCAGGGAAGAATGCTCATCTCACAATGCTGCGACGTTCTTCCAATATGCCACTTTCATCCCTCAAATTCTCGACCTCCTGTTCCCGCAGATGTACAGGTGGCGTTCGCTGACGATCCTCAGCGACACGTGGGCGCCTCTTCGTGTCGCTCTTGAACGTCTCAGTGTGCCCACTCTGATAAAGGGCTCGGGTGCTCCGTGCCTTGAAACTCTGATACTCATGCGATGCAACGAGTTCTTGGGTCACTCGGATGTCTTTTCCCCACGCACACAACATGTGTTCGACGGGATACCATTCGCTGCTTTGACGGGCGCGCCCCACCATGATCTCTCTGCACAATCACACCCCCTTCCGAAGCTGCGAAACCTAACTCTTGTCGGCGTTCACCTAAACTGGACACATCTCTCTCGTTATACTCTTGGTGTAGCCCCCAATGAGCCGCTTTCACATGTTTCCAGCTGCATTCAGTCATTAGAGCTTTCGCAACACTGTCGTGAAGTCAGGCCGACAGTTGATGAGTTTACAGGAATTATCAAGGCTTGTCCTCTCTTGCGAAAACTCGTGATCAGGGTTTCTGGACCGAAGTTTGATGCAGGAGTCCCATGCAGCGATCGTCCGGTCTCGCTTCCCCTGCTTGAAGAGATTCATTTGGGGTATACCAATGTCGAAGATGCTGCCATGCTTCTCAGTCACATCCATGCCCCTAACCTCATCTCGCTTTCCATCGAGGATACCAATCATATCGCCAGTCCTGATATCGAGGACTCTGGTCCTCTCCTGACTTATCTCGCAACCGGCTTTCTTGATTTATGTGATATCTCTGCAGAAGCTGGCCTGAATCATGGACTGTGCACCTACTACTTGGCCACGTCCAAAGATTCAGTCGCCAAGACGCCATTTCCACACCTGGAGCGGTTGTCGCTCAACGGTGTTGCAGCATGCTTGATTCCCTTCAGTCTCCTGATGGCTGTCATCCCGAAACTCCGTCATCTGTCGCTATCTCGCACCCCGAATGCGCTGCTAGCTCTGTTACCCATCCAGACTCCTTTTGCGGACGCCTGTACGCGCACCATACCTTGCCGTGCCCTCGAGTCCATCGAAATATTCTGCATGGAAGAACAGACAAAAAACTTGCTTGAGTTCGTGCAGAGGGAACGCGAGCAGAGCGGTGCTCCACGTGTATGTAACATCGACATGCACCTCGAGGTATCCTCCGCGGATACCGGTGAAGAGATCGAAGGGTACCAGATTATTGAAGACGACATGGTTGAGAACCAGCCTGCATATGGGGAGTGGGCACCAGACGAGCACGATCCATTTGCGCCTGGTGGTGTCTTCAATGATCCCGATTTTGACGAAGCATATCATTATCTATCGTAAGCGTCGATATCAAAGCCTTCTGCGCACACTGTACAGCCCTTTGATCTATATTACCTGTGGTCGTCGTAAGCAGCGGATAATGTTATTAACCTTGTCGTGAGCTATCGATCCGTTCAAGAATCACGCTATCCGCTGGGCCGGATTTGACTCATCCGGCGGCAATATTAATGCGTGTTTAACACGGTGCTACGGCCGCATGTCACCAAGTTACGCACGAACGCTTCTCGCGTCGCACAGAATCTTTACAAGTTTCAGGAATTACTTGTTTCGGTGAGCTCCACGTTTGCCCTGATGAAGTTTCTGTCAGAGTTTGGATTTCATTACTTGGAGTGTGAGAGAAAGTGGGGAAAGAAAGATAGACTCGTAACCATCATGATTCTGCTTGTGTGTGTTTCAAGACAGGGAACGTGGGGCAAGTCATCTGAATGTCGCCACTTGCTGTGTAGTTGACGGTCAGGCTCGGCAGGTCGGGTATCGTTTCCGATGAGTCGTACGTTCAGGGCCTCACCTGGGCAAGCCCAGTCCAGCCCACTATGTAGTACAAATCACAGCCTAGCAGAGACTGAGTAGCATAGGATGTCAAAATGGGTCTAAGTGGAAATGAACGCAGAAAGGGAAGACGTCGATCGAGATCCGAGTGCATGCTTCGTCATTATTGCATCATGTGCGGCGGATTCTAGAATCAAGAACGTTCGTCCAGCAGCGCGATTAAAGCTGCGTTGTCACACATGAATCACATTCAATTGAACGAACTTCGGACCTGTCGTTGGATTTCATTCAGAGGTAACGTCATCTACCTGCGTGTCACGATGCATGGGTTTTTTCTTTTTTTGAAGAGCCGGGTTTGTGTGCATTTAGGCCTAGGTCGTACCCGGGTGGCCGAGCGATTTTCGGAGATACGGGTCATGGGACGTGGATCTTCGTCCGAAACATCCCGAACGAATGCTGACTGTTTGTCTACCAGGACGTCACCAACAGACGATAAACAATGATTAACAAAAAAAATCTCCGAGAGGTGTGATTCGTCCAATATATGGAAATAAGATCTAGCGAACATATATATTCTCATAGATGGAAAAGTCCGCGATTTGTCGCGTTCGTTCAAAATATGGGCCCAAACAAGCGGCGCGCGAAGCTAAATAGGGACTCCGCGTCTGATATCAGGGTAACTGGAGACTGATAGGCTATTTGGCAACGACGCACTATTGAGAAGGCCGACTAAGTCCCTATGAATTCAAGGATGTCACAAGGAACTGTCTTCAAGAGGGGGCTGCAGATCCAAGGCGCAGGACGTATCCTCCCAGCGCATAGGCCCGGGAAGTTTCGACCGATGGGTGGAGAAAAGTCAAAATTTATGACGGTGGCAGGATGCTGACCTTCACGGCGTGATGTTGTGAGCCTTTTTGGCTACAAGAGCTATGCTTGGTTAGGAGAAATCGGGTCATATATACATCAGCTTGACGTGTCCATCACCTCAATTAACCCTTTACTGTTACCTCGTGTTTTGCTTTTAACGGCATTGAAAGCTCGTGGCGCCCATACTGTGACGTTGCAAGGACTTGACTTGCCTCTGGATGCTATGGATTGAAGATGCGTGTGAGTCGGGCCATCATCCTGGTGTGTTTTGGTTTTCTTGGGTGTTGGATGAAATGGTGATGGATCGGTTCACTGTTGAGATACCGCGCTGTTCACGAGTTTATTTTCAACCTGATGTCGTTAGCGTTAATTTTTTTGTAACCATCCACTCCAGATTTACGTTAGACGACACGTCGAGGGGCTGTCGAGGATGTGTTAATGGTTCAGGTTCAGAAGAACATTTATTGAGCGTCTTTGGCGTACGGGTCAAGAATGAACCTGTATCAGCCAATCAACGTCAACTATGATGGTTCACCAACGTAATGTTATGAAAGAACTTTATAATAACTGACCTGATGACTCGAGTTATAGGACCCTGGCACAAAGTTCAGATCGGGCAACAATTATAGCGTCCGTTGTTACTCTTGGACGTGGTCGCGTCAGGGGGTAACTCAGAACAGGAAACTAGCATCTTACACACCTTTGACAGCACCTGGGCAGAACCAATGTCCGCGGAGTTATCCAGTAGCAAGCGCTGAGTTGCACAAAGTACTGAGTACTCGGGTGCCTCAGGCTAGTCAGATGCAAATTTTCATGCAGTGTAGTAGCTACATGTGGTCTTTTCAATTAGCTGTGTAAAAATTTAGTGGTAGTCAGCAGGAAGATTGAACCTTGAACCTATAGCTATAGGATGAATGATGTCGATCTTCACTTCATGATGCGATCTGTAGAAGAGTCGAGTCCTGACACTACTCGGTCCGGATGAACAACAAATGTACAAAAGTGATTGGGCAACCACTCCAATACCCAGGAACAGACCGGGGGAACAGACCATAATTTCCCGATCTAGTAGCTACACTTAGCTGCCGATGCGGGCCGGCCATGGGAAGGATCATTAATATTGGGCCGCTCCTGCCAGACAAAGTCCGTTGCACTTGCTCTGATACTTATTACAGACTGCCAACCCATTCAATTCTCTTTTCAATCCTCATCTAAAAAATCATGTCCCCAGCTCAGGAGGAGCAAGAAAAGGCTTCGACGTCCATCCTCAAGGAGAGACGTTTCAAGCTGAGTAGGTCAGTCGTACTCTCCGTCTCCTGGTATACCGATTTACTCACCTCGGCCTATCTCAAAGAGCGTGTGATCGCTGTCGGTCAGTGCCTACTTCATATCTTATCTGTGATCAGCCATCGCTCACCATACTTCAGGCGAAGGAGAATCAAATGCGATGAGGGTCATCCATGTCAGGCTTGTCTCACCGCAAATTCAGCCTGTACGTTCGAAGAACCAGGAAAGCGAACACATCCTCATAAATCAAAGTTCGTGGTCTATCCATATCGTTCTGAAATAGATACTCATCAGCTTGCAGAAGAACTGCGACGCTAGAAGATAGAATGCATCAACTCGAGACTCTCATTCAAGCCATCCCTCCTGCTGTTTTCGCTGCTGGAGGTGCGGGTGCATCTGCACTCACATCCTCCCAATTGTTATCTTCAGATAACATTGCTAGCCCTTTGGTGTCTTTCGCCTCAGCAAACCATAGCTTTCCTTCGGGTGTCCCACCCCCATCTCTGCACGTTTTCCCACTCACCAATCCATCTACCCACTTCAGGGCATCTCCATCCATGAGTTCTCCACGAGCTCAGAGTCCGAACACGGCATTTTCCGCCATGCTTGGACAGTCATCTCATACCCCAAATGGATCAAACTGCGAACAACCGGAAGAGACCACACGCATGTCTATATGTGCCTCCTATCTGTACTTCGATGATGAAGGCTACACCCGTTGGCAGGGAGAGACTTCTGGCCTTCCTCTCTTAGACCTTTTGGTCGAAAATCACACCCAAGTCAAGTCTGAAACGGAGAAAGGCTCCCCAGATCCGGCATGGGCAAATCCATCCCCTCATACCGCCAACCCAACATGGTTTCCGAATAGGACGCCTAGACGCACAGACGTCAATCCTGAAACATTGTGGCGCCTTATCACTTCATATATAGTTCCAGAGCTTATGGACAGGTGGGTTTTCTATTTTTTCCTTTTAATCTCGCTTGGGCTAATCTTATAATCATCAGTCTAGTTCAATGCTTTTTGTGTACTTCCTACTACCTGCTGCCATTCCTACATGTTCCGACATTTCTGGCGGTGTGTGACATTCACATGGTATACTTCCCGTACTCACACGATCCACAATTTCAGGACTATGGAAATCCCAGAAAGTGGGGTGAACCCGGTTTCGCAGCGTTAATCGTAGCTATATGCTGCCTTGCGTCCCGTCATATCGATGATCCGAGAGTACGATCAGATCCTAGTGATGGGATATCTGCCGGCACTCAATGGTTCGAATTGTTTGGACGCCTACGTACTCTTCCGATTGCGGACCATCCCACATTGTACACTATCCAGGCCGATCTAATCGCCGCGGTCTATGCTGTTGGTCTGGGAAAACTTTCAAAAGCAGCAGCACTCTTATCAGAGGCTATCACCGTGTCGATAGATACTGGCCTCCATCGATCGGCCGACACCTATGACCTCTTTAATCCCATCGAGGACGAAGTCCGCAAGCGCACATTCTGGTGCGTATACCTATGGGACAAACAGCTATCTGCCCACTTTGGCAGACCCCCGATGATTCGCCTTCGGGACACAGACATTGGAGAGCCTGCTGTCGTAGATGACGAGTTCATCACACATGATGGGATGCTCCCACAACCCGCAGGAACAGAGAGCCGTATGAGTGCGTTTATCGCCGCTGTGAGGATCATGGTCGTAATGGAGTCGGTGTTGGACATACCGCCTCCACGCGACCGGACGGGTGACACTTCTCCATTCCTGTTACGCGCTGCAGGCGTACTGTCTGGCCACGTACGTCCAAAAGACCTGCGCGAAGAGGAAGCATTGCTAGATGAAATCCGCCGATCAATACCCCCGTACTGGGCGCACACGTCGGCAACATTAGCGAGTGATGATGTGATCAGGGTCACCCAGGCCGTGCGTTTGCACTGCGCTGAGCAGTATGTCAGAATGTTGATCCATCGACATCGCTTCTCGAATTTTGTGGCGGAGAGAGCATACAATGCGCTGATGGAGGAGGATCCCGCGGATATGGAGAAGGAGGAGATGAGTGCGGCGCAGTCATGTGCGCTGCAGATTATCTCGTCGCACATGCAGGTAGCAGGCAAGGGTCTGATGACGTACTGTAAGTGTTCTCATTATAGATCTTGTCTTGCATTGGTTGATCATTCGTGTCAGATGGTGTGCATGTGATTCACCAGCTCACACAAGCAGGAAGAACCCTTATCACCATATTGATTAATTGCAAGACAGAGAAACTCCAATACTTGATCCAGCCGGCGATTGACGCGCTCCGATCGTGTGTTGGGTTATTAAGGCGATTCAGTGGGCGATACGTGTGTGGACAGAGATCAGGCGATCTGATGGAAGAATTTTGTCGTTGTGAGTTTTTTTCCTTCCTGACATCAGTGATCCTCTCGGCTGATTCATGTGACTAAAGTGACACAAATTCCTCTGGAGCCCTCTCGCCCAGAAGGTCAGGAACAGCCAAATTCGCGGCCTCCCTGGATCAGACCCATCCGCAAGAAAACACCCAGCGTGGCTGCCAAGGGTGCAGGCAGTGACGGTGGGTCGCAACATAGCAGTCCCGAGGCTTTCTCACCCTCCGAGTTCTTCGTTGACCCTGTTCTTGGAGCCACGAGCCCGCAAACCATACCGCAGAGCGCCTTTTCGCCTGGACCTATGCCCTCATCATCACAATATTCACGGCGGCTGTCGCTTTCGGCGCCGAGTTTTATGGACCCAGGTAGTATGGGCATGGACGCGTCTGCGGCGATGTATTTGTCGTCACCGGCAGATATGATGAATATGTTCGGGGACGGATCTGTAGATGTTGCGGCCCTTTTTTCTGGCGCGTCTGATTTCAATATGGGTCAGAGTCTTGCTGAACCACATGAACCGTTGTACGGGCACATGAATGGGGGTAATAATAACCTGATCGCGTCCCCTTAAAACGGTCGCGTGCACTTAATATTGTCTTATGCAGTCGAGCTGTATGATTTATTGCAGGCTTTTCTATTACTGTATTCCCATTATTACTTCGTTGTATGACGCCAGGCTTTCGCGAAATATGATACATGTGTTGCTTGAAAGTTGAAAGGGGGACGCGATCACGTGCTGAAGGTCACTCAAAACAATCAAAGTCATTACACTCACTTTCAACATATTCCCCCAATATTCGATTTTGGCTGAAATCCGCTAAAGTCAACTAGCTGCTGCCGACTCGGTGATCCGTGCCCCGGGGATGCACAAACGCGTACGGTCCATTCTTGCAGCGTTCATTCTCTTGTACTCCGCCGCCGCCGAACTCGCTTCGAGGAATTCTAGTTATCCTCCACATGTTGGGAAGCGAATGCAGGGCGGTTTACACTTGCCCTTGAGCCGGAGGCTTATTCCCAAACGGATCACGCTTGGCGCGGATACCGGCGTAGCGGGACTTGGCGATTTCTTCGACGTGTGAGTCTGTACTTGTGAGAACCTCTCTTCTGGACTGACGCTCCACCAGCACGTACAGCGTCCTCATAGATATCGGTGGCACATCCTTGCCTGTCGTCCTAGGTGAGCCTTTAATTAAACAGCGGGAGCACTGCATCTGAGGCTGAGGAGCGCACAAGACACGGGTTCCTCGGATTTGTGGGTTCTGTCCAATGTATGCCAGGGAACATGCTCTTCAGCAGATACGGCTCTTTACCCACCGAACACGTTCCATGGTATAGGCCTGGATGCTGCCCTCGTGTACGGCGATTCAAAGACTGGGACGTATGCGAGAGGGATGATTGGATATGATGCGGTGTCACTGGCGGGTCTTACTTTGCAGGATCAGTATTTCGCGGCGATCAACGATACCAATACGTCTGTGGCTCAGACTCGGTGCTCTGGGATCTTCGGGCTTGGGTTTCCTCTCAATAGGTGAGCGACTACCTGAGACAAGTGCGTCGTACTGATAGTCTGTGGAGCGTGATCTGGACCGACATGTTCCTGAACCAACAACAGATCTCGAGACCGCGAAATCTTCGTGGTGATGTAGTTTCGCGTATCGCTGCTATGCGGAAGCGCTGGTTTGACAAGTCCGTCCTTGGAATTTCCTCGTTTCGACATATCGATCCTCCCTCTTACCAGTCTATGCCTCAGCTGAAACGTCAGGTGACGGCCTCGTCTGCAATCGTTTCTTCTTTTAGAGTATCCGGTCCATTTATTCCTCGCCTTGTTTCGCTCGGAGGGCTTGCGTCGCCCATGTTCGCGATTGCGCTGCAGCGAGATACAATCGAGATTGGAGGGAACGAAGGCATGCTCTCTATAGGTGGACTGCCATCTGGGGTCCAAAATGAGAGCCTGACGTGGGTTCCTGTGCGCCAATATACGCTTCAACAAGAAGGCTTGACACAAGATGCTTCTCTTGAGGTACGTTCCACCTTGGGGTGTTGTACATCAAGCATCTAATCCGTCCGCGAAAGGCGTATCCTGTTGCTTGGGAGATTCCGGTAGATGATGTCTTTCTTGACGGCGTGAAACTTCCCCGGTCGCAGTTGTGCTCTAGTAATATCTCGTTGTCAGCGCTGATTGACACAGTTCGTCGTCCATAGTCCACTGGCTCGTACCGGGTCTAACGTCTCTTTGCAGGGCAATTCTTTGATTCGAGGTCCGCCTGACGTCATTTCGTATATCCAGAACATGCTGGGGGGACCTCACTTTGCCTGTTCATCTCCTCATACACTGGCATTTCAGATCGGTGGTCGCATGTTCCCCGTCGACCCGAGAGACCTCGTGAATCAAGTGCGCTCCGGAGACGCACAAGTGTGCGGGGCGAATCTTGCGCAGACTGATGTGCCTGTTCTCGGTGGGGGTGGATACCTGTACAGCTGGAGTCTAGGAGATCCGTTTCTGAAAGGGTGAGTGACCGTCATATATGTATTTGTCTGCAGCTGTGGAGATAGAGAGGACGGATGCATGCGGAGCTCCTCGCGTATTCCAAGCGGGAGCTGCGGCTCACCGTTTTTTGGTTTCTTGATCCTTCGGTTGTCCTTTAGGTTTGTTGTCCTAGATCGCTCATTTCTTGCTAGCGTGCTCGCAGCGTTCTATTATGGTTCTTTCACAGGACTTTCGCAAGACCCTCCACGGATCGGGTTCCTGTCTACCGTTCCTTCTGATGCCGGTCAACGTTTAGAGGATGCTGTTTCAGCAGCATCTGCAGAACAGTATGATCTTCCTGGTTGGTTCTCATCCTGACATTAGCAAACCGTCTTATAATTCTCCTGCAGGAACGAAAATGTTGCCGCCATCTTCCCTTTCTTCTCCACTGAGCACCGGAATTGGGGGAATTGCTATGGCATCTTCTTTTCCTGGATCTGCTCATGGTATAAGCGGGAGCAACCAAGCTGGGCAGGTAAATAGTGCACGAGAGCGCATGCAGGTGGGCCCCGCCGCCACTTTGTGGTGTTCATTCTTCACTTTAGCGATGTGGACATTTTCAAGAATGTTCGCATGAACGTTATGAGCAATTCGCATTTCAAGTTTCTTCCATTTGTATCATGTATCCCGCATTTGATATACTGTAGCCCTATCTACCCGCATACGTTTTTTATTTCATTTGGCTACCAGTGACGTTCAAGTTGTATCTACTATCGCAAAAATGGCGCCTATCGACCATTAATCGGTGGACAAACCTGTATCATTTCCTTTCCGAGTGCTCTGATTTCGATGTTTTTGGTACATAGGTTTGTGTAGCTTAGTCAGTCACAATGTCTAAACCGTGTTTGATATTGCTAACATGTACACGCAGTTTAGTTTCGTTCCAACTTCCGTCGTGGTGTCATTTTGCGTTAGGTGGTAACGCATAATGCCGCAAGTTTACTTCAAGTTGAAATGTTGAACGTCGAAGCTTGACAGTCGTTCAGCAGGAGTACTTGAGTCGTGACATCTATCACTCGGCTGATCTGATAGATCAGTGGAAGGATTCCACGACTGTCTTCCTGCTATTGATCTAGATGTGACTAGACTAGTGACAAGGCTCACTTCATAGACAGACTAGACTCCTTCAAACAAACGCTAACTACTCGCCTCCACCGACTCCTAAGCCTTATCTACCACTACAACGGGCCGCAGATATCCATACCCCTGAATCGATAGCTTAAGCTTCTTGAAGAACTGCATCATCGCCAAGACCATTAATCCCTTTCCCACAGCAAGCACGAGCGTATTCCCAGACATTCCTGGGAGATTATGATGCCAGCCCCGGATCGCCGAGGGACCGAACAACGTCCGTTGGCTATTGTGGTTTCTTCGCCAACGATCGGACAGGGTCGGTACTAGTACTAAAGCGTTCCTGGCGTACCCACCCGTGGCCGAAGGAGAACGCGAACAAAGTGAGTCACTCGATGCAGGGTTGCACTTGGTGACAGTTCATATACATAGAGGATTGGCGTTTGACATGGGCATGAAAATCCGCTTGATCTACGTATCGACCCCTAAGTGGAGAATGGATAATTCACAGGCTGTGAAAATAAGGCGGTGTCCACGGATCAAATCGAATGTTTGGACGTGTGGATAATAAGAACCATGGCTTGACAAATGCGAGAATGATTACATGTAGGTACTCAAAATTCGAGATCGATCCATACCCTTTTGCTAATCTTTTTCCTGGTCCAGTATCGCAGTTCGTTTTCAGCATCCCCTCTGACACGAATAATTCGTCAGATCGACAGAGGCCTCCGACCTCTACCCCACGTTATAATACGACTGGTCAGCGAATTCTCATCATCGCGTTAGTGGGTAGGTCGCACTACAACAACGACAATCAAACACCATCCCCTATAACACGCTCACAAAATACGACCCAATTTTCTAACAACACAAAAACGCGTTGTGCAACTAAAGTAAAATACAAAACCACAGCGTGGCGCAACGATATAATCTAGCGAGCGCCTAGAAATCAAAGATCAACAATTCCACTCGGTGATATCTCCGGGATAAATCTATGCGTGGTATCGCACACATGGTCCCTCCAAGCAACAAATTCAAATCCGCATTCAAATATTTTGATCATTCAAAAGGGATGGACCGCGATCACTTTATAACGATCCACGCTTCCAGTCGACGAGTTGTTTCAGTTGTTCGAGGGTTAAGAAAATCAGGATTGTGGTGGGCTGGAGACGCGACCATGCGGGGAGCCAGCCTTTAAACATGAACATTGGGCCTTCCGTTGCTAGAGAGGACCGGATCACTCCAATCGTCGACTTCAAGTGTCTCAGTGTCACGCGTGGCCGATTAATCGCAAAAAACGAGACTCACGCTCGATCCGGGTCCAGAAGCGTTCATGATACGGCTCTTGAGCACGTCTGCAGGTGAGCAAACAGTGGTTGCAACCGTTCCCTAAAAGAGAGTTGAAGATAAGAATACAGGAAATGAGAAAAACTAAGACGTACTGCTGCAAAACTGGCTGTGAAATGACAAGCAATGTTGTCATCGAAGTACTTTGTCTTCAAGAGCTCAGCCTTGAAGAAGTCGTACCTGAATGCAGGTTAGACATGTGACACGGATGAGAAGGTAAGAAGGGCAACTTACGAAGCCAGCTGACTGGAGTTCATCAAGATACTCCGAAAGACATTAGGGCCCACACCTCGCAATAGCGATGATGGGCCCTCCTCGCGGACCATCTGCAATAATGACGTCAGCACCTCGGCCTCGGAATAAACAAGATCGGATATCAGATAGAGTCCAAAACAGTTGGGAAATGACTGGAAGTGGATACTAAAAGGTAAGGAGAAGAAAGAAGTAGACTACAGTGTTGCACAATGCGGTGTTCCAGATTGGTATCCGCTGACCTCCTTTGAGCGATCGGCAATTTGATGTCATATAAACGCATCAATCCATGTGTCCATCCGTAATGCATTATAACCTGGCCATCAATGATAGTACGCTTTCCGTATACCAGTCAGAACCGTCCAAACACGGGTGAATGCTCGGCACAACCAATAATATCACAAGGTTGACGAAAATGGCGGAATAGGCAAGATAGGAGATAGAGCGGCGCATGGGAGTATAAAGGATGAGCAAGCGAGGGACAATACACTCTTTCGCGTTCCCATTCTCCCATCGCTGCTACGCAGCCAGTTTAGATCCGTATGGCTTGCTGCGTTTGGATTCACGCCCCCCGATAATACTGTCCTTGAGACAAAGTCGACACTAGGAAGACCGACGACCAAAATAAAGAAACGCGGAGCACGGAACCGCGCGGGACACGTCTAGATCAACTGGACATGACACTTACTCTGAACAATGCGTCAAAGCAGTGCTTATAATTAAACCGCTTTTCGGGTGGTTTCGCGAAGTCGCCTTGCAGACGGACCTGATAAATATGGCGCGATTTGAATCAGAGGGGGCGAAGACGTTCCGGGCGGGAGCGGAAATCATGGTTCGATGGCGAAATTGAAGATCACGTAATGGAAGACATATTGTGAGCACGAGGCAAAGGTGATAGAGCAAGACACGCACCATGACGACCTCTAATCAGGAGAAATTGCTGCTCAGCGCATGGGGTGACAACATATGTCATCGAGACTTACCGCCAGGGTTACCAACGACACCTGCGATGGAGCCAGCTAACTCGGATCTCAATATTATGGATCGTACGACATAGGATTTCGTACTCACCCATGACACCTGCTGTGGCGAGAACCCATGCAGGGCTCTGGGGTGTGGCTCCCAAGATCCTCTTACTCTCATCGTATGCCCAAAAGCGACACAAGCTGTAGCTCATCTGGCGCATCCATGTTCCAGTGATACCATCGAAGAGCCCCCGGACGCCGGCAGTGCGGACGGTCTTCTTTATGGAATCTATCATACCCTTGTCACCCGACGCTTGAAGGCGGACCTTGGTAAGGTCAAGGGGGTGGGTGATGGAAGCAGCAATTGTTGCTGCAACACCACCGAGGTAGAAGGGGTAAGGTTGCTTCTTGGGTTTCGAAGCCACGAGAGGTGGCGAAGAAGGTGCTGCAGCTTGTGTGGACATGGTGGTTTGTGAGAGAAGATGTTAGATTCAGTTGGAGTGAACCGGGCGCAACTAGTTCTTCCGATGAAGGCCTAATGAAGCCAGGTCTTGATTTATCAATAGGGGATCGAACATTACATTTCCGCTGACTAAGCCTTCCAGTACTTAATACCATCATGTCCAGGCATTCGTCATCGTGCTAGCCTTGAGCTATCCTTCTTCAGATTCAAATGCTCTACAATGGGCTTCACAGTCCGTTCATCGCAGGTGCATCACGCAACCCTGCAAGACCCTGCCATAGTTTAGAATTCATCAGCTGCAATAGACAGGCGTTGTCACATTGTGGCAAGTCGTGTGACTGCTCTTCCCGTCATCTCCCGACTCATGTTATCTCCGCATCTCGGAGTCCCTTCTTCGTCTTTCTACCACCATCGATGGCGTAAAATCATCGTTGTCCTAAGCTACCTTTCATCCTCTCTTCTTTGCACCTCATCTATCTAGATGACCTTTCACACCTTGAGCATATTTGTCATGGCACGTTCTATCCAGTCGGCTTCGTGAAATCGAATCGTGGGTTTAAGAATGGTACGCGACGAGGCGCCAAGGCTCACACACACTTTTGCGTGGACGATGCGCTGGAAATTTTATTGCGGCCCACGGTGTGTGCGATCACTCGTACTCGTAGTAAGGGAAGGCTCTGTTGTCATTCGGTATGTTTTACAAGTGGTATGAGACAATTCGCTTGATCGTATCGATCACCCTCGATATTGGACGTGTCGGTGTGAAATCTACCACCCACGTTTGTTCTCAACACAGGTCCTGTTGCAACCACTCTGAACCCTTGATCTTCCAGATGCTGTGCTACTCGAGGTTTGTTCCTTGTCCATGTCCTTGGCATCCATTTGAAGGATGGATTTCATTCCAGCTTTACTTGAGGATATTTCCCAACTCACGTACAGTGGATGACCATTTCCCTCATTCTGAGCAAACCGTTGCTGTGCAAGGGTGCTCGGAATGACGTGAATGACGCATTTGACTGGACCATATAATTCAGACCAAGTGTTGTATTGAATCTGTTGACACGACGCGAGCGGAACACGTCGACGACTCATCTGCATCATATATCCACGTCCAACGGTCCCGGTCCGTCCTGATAGGAATGAAGTGTTTCTCAATGTTAAGAACTTTTCAATATTGCCCCGCCGACTGATGAGGCACATCTATTCGCAGCAACAACATCTCAGTGCGCATACATGCCTAGCTGAATCTGCCAACACGACGAGCGGAACACGTCAACGACTCATCTGCATCATATATCCACGTCCAACGGTCCCGGTCCGTCCTGATAGGAATGAAGTGTTTCTCGTGGCAAAGAACTTTTCAATATTGCCCCGCCGACTGATGAGGCACATCTATTCGCAGCAACAACATCTCAGTGCGCATACATACCTAGCTACAACATCCGTACTTGACGCAACACATCCTGCCCCTCTGTCAGCGCAGGCTTACGACCGTCCCACGTCAAACTCATCGATCGGCATTAATTTATGCATGGAACTCCCACCCGAGAGTTTGTCATTTCTTTTGGCCGTACCTTGTTCTGACGTCGGCTATTGTTCAAGATGCCATGAGAATGAGAGTGAAACCAAGCCCGGAAGCACCATCGATACCAAAGGTAGGTCGTGTTTTAACCAGAAGGTGTTCCGCGGTTTGCTTAAATTCCCTCCAGAAGTAATAACCAGAGTTCGCCATCTTCGACACAACCTTTGTTAGTTGTCACCGTGGACGAAGACTAGAACTGAGCGCTGAGCGCCGACTTGCATGTCTTCGTTTGGAGCCGCATAAAATGTTGATAGACAAGCAAGAATGATCTTGTCACACTCGGCGTCTGCATTTGCCGTTTGTGGCGTCTTCTGTACATTCCCCCTGAATGGATCGATGAGCTACTTTGAGAGTCATAATATAATACCCGGCCCGTTCATCCACGATGTCGATGAACGTTGGAAAATCAAATGTCAATTCCCTTATCTTCTCTTCCAAACCAAGGAGCATACGATATGTACAAGCACGCTAACTTGAAGGAGTTACTGAATCAAAGCTCCGACAATTAGTGCATCCCAACGACAATGGAATCACGAGGCAAACTCAACCTTGGTTTGTGCGTCCATTTGGCTGAGATCACTAATTATAAACGTTTCATGTCCATGAAATGGTCAAGGATGGCTTGATAAGTACATGGACCTGCTTACGTGGCAAAGCGCTCGGCGTAATGATCGACTCAATTCACGAGGCGAATGATATCGATAAACCCGGACAGTCTGTGCCAGCACTACACTGAGATAGTACACTTTAATATGACCTTATCCAGCGCACGAAGGTTTTCTTGGCGATTCGATATCTGTAGCGCCAACGGGAATCGACGTGGACTCGGAGTGGCGAGGGTCCGAGGGAGACGTCACTGTGCTGCGAACACCAATCGAATCGCACGTCGACAGCAACCTGGCCCAAACTTTGGGTGACTTCACTACTTGCAAAGCAATTCCATAAGGAAAGTCTGGCTCTGCATAACGGTGCTCGGCCGCACCACCAGTCCCCGATAACAGAAAGGTGTCGTTGTCTGCGGCAGAATCAAGCTGAAGTCACAATAAACGCTCACCTATTCGAGAAGGGAAGTGATTTCCGTGCACTTCCTTGCCAAGGCAGTGGGAATAATGCGACCTATAGAACGACGAAATCAACGGAAAGTTGCTGTCGAACAAGGTTAGTAACTAAACGAGGCTTAGAACAGTAGCACGCAATTGCAAGAGAGCAGACACTTCAATTGCAATGGGTACATGTTACAGATCGGCGGCCGACAGGAGTCATTTCCCGGGACCGGGAGACTACGAGCCCTCTTCGCTGTGTATGTATGTGGTCGATTCACCGCTCTCTAAGCTTTCAGTTCGTCGACGTCGAGAAAAGCATCAAGGCTCTGTGCACAGGCGTCAATGCATGATATATATTCTTGAGCCGATATCGGAGCTCAAAGAAAAAGTTCAATAGACACGCGTCTTGTACATTCTCTCCAAACTTGGAAAAGGGCAATAGGCACCTTCGTGAAGCTCATGGTGGAGCGCAAGAGGGACTGACACTTATTGTAGACGCGCGCTTGCTTGTTAATAGCCAAAGTCTGCCAAACACCTCCTTTTCTTTTTGACGTCATGCTGGTCTTTTCTCTCAGCACTGAGGTCACTGTTGGTTATTTTTGAGTCACGGCTCGATTCTGATATGTTTGAGATACTGTGTGCGTCTTGAAGTCCGACGAGAGCAAGGTGTAGGTGTACTGATTTTGTATGCAGGATTTGCAGGGCTTGGAGTGTGGCAGTAGAGGATCGGGTTCGACACTAGGATGCAGTTCGGCTATGGGATACAGTCAGCCATGGGGTCAAGGGCTAGCCGCATCGAGTTTCTCATCAATCATGCTGTCAAGACTAAGTTCCCTGGATAGACGAACTTAAAAATCCGAGGGAAAAGTGGACCAGGAAGGGACTGTCTGGACCGGGAGTTGTCGAGAAAGGAAGTAATGTTAATGAGCGAGTAGAGGCAGAGCAGATTGTGCAGGTATAGAGTATCTTAGTCACAGGGACGAAAGAAGGTCCAACAGAGTCAAGTGACAGGCTAATCCTTATACACGACTAGAAAATATATTTCATGAGCAGTGGTCCGACAAAGTCAGATAACAATAACAAGCTTTCCTAAAAATATTCTTGGTGAGCAGTGGGCCGACGGAGTCGGATGTCAAATTTCAAGCTATTCCTTATAAATGACTAGAAAATACACTTGGTGAGTGGTGATTGAAATCTTGACTATTCTGCCGACACGTACCTCATTTACTTTTCATCCAAGATGAATTCATTTCGGCCTCGCCAGATAGCAAGACGATGGTGATGACGGGGCGAATAACAACCAAATGGAATAACTGAGTCGCTTTTGTTTCAGTGGAAGGACAGATGGGCCCGACAAAGAATCCCTAGCACAGCTCAGCTCTAAATGCGGTGTTGTCGTGGAATGGTAACGTGAACAATGTACAGGAAGAGGACTAGGCACCTTTGTGAAGCTTCTGGTGCGGTGCAAAAAAAACAAGGTTAGAAGCTTATAGTCAGGTGGCTCGCCGTATCTACATTCTGAACAAATCAAGACGTCGGCATTGGCTGAGTGTTGGATACAAAAGGACCTGCGCCCCATGAGATGATAGCAAGAAATCAGCGTTTCCCCATATCCCAGGTCAAAGAATATGACGTCCACACAATCCAACTCCAAAGGTGTCGCAGTCGTCACTGGATCTGCGCAAGGAATTGGGCGCAGCATCGCAATACGCCTTGCAGGGGATGGCTACGACGTCGTGATCAACGACTTGGAAAGCAACAAAGAGAATCTGGAGGAAGTCAAGAAGGACATCACTACCGATTTCCCGGAGCGCAGAGTCTTGATTGTGTTTGGGAATGTCAGTGTCGAGGAGGATGTCAAAGGCTTGGTCGAGAGTGCAGTTAAAGAGTTTGGCCGCTTGAATGTTGTGAGTTGTTTACGACTGGTTCAATCGCCAACTATGACTGCATGCCAAACTTATCTTATTCATAGTTTGTTGCAAATGCAGGCATCATCAGAACAAAACCACTTTTGGAGAGTAAGACTTCGTAGTCGACGTAATGCCGGAGCTTACTGAAAACTTTCCGCAGCGACTTCTGAGGACTTTGAGTCTGTGCTTTCCGTCAACGTCACAGGCACCTTCTACAGCTACAAGTATGCAGCGCAGCAGATGGTAGCTCAAGGTGAGGGTGGGCGAATTATCGGTGCGAGCTCCCTTGCGGGAAAGAAAGGCAGGTCCATATATGCAGCTGTTTCTTCTCGTATGGTGACGTATCTTTCAGGGCACGCTTCGCTCAGCGCTTACAGTGCGTCTAAGTTTGCTATCCGAGGGTTGACGCAAACCGCAGGTATGAGTGTACTTCTATAGTCTTAATAAGTGCCCGACCTCAGTAACATTCTCCGTAAGCCATCGAACTTGGTCGCAATGGAATCACAGTGAACGCATATGCGCCAGGAACAATTCAAACACCAATGCGTAAGTTTCATTATCTGTGCGTTAATATATGGTGGTAAACTTTACCTCGTGTAGTTGTTAGGTTGGCTGGATCAGCCGATTATAACGACGTTTACGATGAGGTGACCTTTTTGCCAATGTGCATGAGATACTAATTTTAACACTTTTTCTTCCTTTAAGTTCAAGCGGTTGTCATCCGTAGGCGACCTCGGAACTACCCAGGATGTTGCGAACCTGGTTTCATTCCTGGTGACTCCGGAAGCACGTTTCATCACAGGTGTGTATATCGTACATGGCCGGGTTTCATAAGATCAGCAACTGATGGGTGTAATGCGCTGTTTTGCAGGTCAAACGGTAAGCATGTTCTCACTCATACTGAGGGACGCAATCTGATATGATTCACGGACAGATAACGATCGATGGTGGTATCTTCTTTGATTGATGGTGAATTGCCACACGTTATATTCTGAACGGCAGAAATCTTCTCACATGTACCCACGGCCGTGTACGCCTTCGTGTCCAGTTTTGTACCTTTAAACTTTAATGATGGTACGCCTCCCGCAGCATGTTACATCCTGATCCATGCGAATCGTGTATCCCCAGACGAACATTCATAAGGAACACAGTAGCCCTACTAAATAAAAATTTACTTTGCCAAATTTTTCTGGAGCGTGCAGTACGAAATAAAGTACGATAAACTATGATGCAAGTGATGTTCCGGTCGTGGAGAGTGAGACACGAGCAGCCGAACGACTTGAAGGATTCTGCTTTCCATCTTCGTTCCAGTAGTCGCTTATACTGGACGACGTTCATGTCTTTCCCGTAAAAAGTAACTACCGGAACGAAGTACTCTGCCATGAAGGAATGCCCAGTATACTCATTATGGTGCGCGATAACTCAGTACATAGACAACGTCAGCACAGATGGAGCAGTAAGATAGAATCTGGAACGAACCTCTTGAAAACTCTCGCAGTTGCGATCTTCGCTGAGGTAAAGGGTTGGAGATCACGACGAGAGCGACAGGTAGGGCAAAGAGCTGATCAGAAAGATGATGACGTGGTCCCATAAAGCAAGCTCGGGTTAGAGTTCTTGCCCAGTATGCTTATCATGGCGCGATCACAGCAATGGTTGAATTTTTGGAACAATCTGATGCTTTTGAGAAGGAAGGCAGAGACAAGACAAAGAAGATATCGAAGAAAGAATAGAAGAGAGAGAAGAAAGGGTAGCAGCAGGGGAGGAATGAGTGGAAGAGGAAAGAGGACAGCAAGGAGTAGCGCTTGGAGCTCGAGCCTCAGTATGGATTAGCGCCCTTTATTGCAATCGTGACCGTGTCTTACATAATAGTTTCGGTTGAAGAAATTCTCTCATCGCTTATCTACAATTGCAATAAATTGGGTTAATCCGTTTGTCATATCGGTTCAGCGTAGTGGCCGCCTACACTCGGATGGTCCATTCAATACGCTTATTCGAATCACACATTCCTCGTCAACGTGCCATCAAATCTCAACTAAATCAACGGCGACCATCATGGAGACGATAATATCAGAACTCAATCACTGAGATGGCGGTGAAAAGCTCATCCACGACTCGAAAAGTCTTCGTCCATTGTCACACACGGATGAGTCCGATTATTCACCTCACGGAACTTTCTGACCTCAACTTTCATGTCCGCTATATTATCGGTAATCTAGAATCCTCAGCTTGGACACCTTGTGAACCCGCGAATCCAGGACGGAATATGTCAAGGCTGTCACGGTAATGAGTCAATGATTCAGCAAATACGGAATAGGCCCTCGAGGCGTTGCCTTTGCATCCATGCGTTCGCAGCGTTCAGACGTAAATTAAATGATCATAGTTGAGGCTGCGGAGAGCGCTCGATGAGCGGTCGAGAATCAAGCTACAAGCTCAAATTGTAGATCCATCTCCCCGTTCATACACCCAATGGAGACAGAACACGACATAATGTGTAATACTGGCGTGCTCAAACATGATAGAGCAAGTACCAAACCAATTGTGACAACATGCGACGCTGGACGAATAACCCGAGCTGCGCAATTACGGTAAAGCTTACTATCGCACTGTTTTCGACTTTCGAGTTTTATGTAACTCTTCGAGCATTCGTACCTTGCAATTGCATCTTTGCTACATAAGATTTTTGATGGTTACCCACTTAATCCACTGAAGTACTTCCGCAGCACATTCACCCGGTTTTCAGCAAGGCAGCCCGGAGCGATCAATCCTCTCTTGGCCATCCTTCAAACCTTCATTCTTAGCCAGACGTGGTATGTAGTACGTGGCGTATGAGTATCGATTTCGGCATACAGAAACATCATTCCCTCGCGAAATCACATTATATTCAAATTTGTCAAACCGCACTGATATGTTCCTCCTATTTAGTCTACTCTTTTCTTAGCCTTCAAGTTGTTGGAGCCCACATTTTCTTCACAACTTGGGATGTCGAGCTCTCAATTCTCTGAAGCTGACCTAACCTTGTCCAGCGATGAAGATATCAAGTACCCTGAACAAGTGTGGTATACTCTCGCCGCCTTTCTCTTCGTGATCGGCTGCTTCCAGTGGGGATTGTTCCTTCATTCCAAGTTCGCCAGGCGGGGACACCACGAGTTCGACGAAGAAACGACTATCACCAATGGCGTTCATCAGAAAATTTCTCTTCGTCGACTTCCGCTTGCGGTCATAAATTTCTACCGCGTTGTTGCCTTCCGATGGACCCTGGAAATAGGACAATCCTATACCCTCAACATGGCGGAGGTCTTTGTCACTGTGGCATACATCGTCCTTCTGTTGATATATGCTTTCATTAATAGTAAGCACGCAACATTGTGGGCAGCGGTCACACCACATTAATCACTGAATCACGCAGCCACCTCAGTCGAGGGTCAGAAGCTTGATATCTACTGGAGCAACCGTATAGCAATGCTGGCGTCCAGTCAGTTTCCTATCGTCACGGCTCTTGGCACCAAGAACAATCTTGTATCTCGTAGGTGGAAACGCTCTTAATCCAATGTTTTGCTGAGTTTTTCGCATCAGTGGTCACAGGCATCAGTTACGATAAGGCATGACACTTGATTACCATCCACGTGGCACCTACTTATGAACGCAAAGCTTAATTATATCCATCGAATGACGGCTAAGACATGTTTCATGCTACTTTGGGTACATGGGGCTGGCAATATTGTATCCAATCCCTTGTACGTATCTTCAATTTCATATTTGCCATTTTCTGATAGAAATTATCGAAAGCTTCAAGGAGAGGTTGAGCGAACCATGGCTTCGCGCCGGTGTCACTGCCATGGTCGCTTTCTCTATCCTGATCATAGTATCACTGCACCCCGTTCGCAGCAACATGTATGAGGTCTTCTTTTATGTTCACTTCCTTGGCGTCCTGTGGGTGCACCACGTCTGTTCGCTTGTAATTGTCATTGACAGACGAAACGCAGTATATTTTTGGTGGGAGGATATTACCACACCAGAGGTGCTGAGTAAGTGCAAACGAATACAGACAGCTTGGTTTCTGACTTGCAGCGAACAGCGGGTCATATTGGATATGGCCCTCGTTTGTGTTCTGGGCTCTCGACCGCTTCATCCGGGCGGTTCGACTAGTTGTATTCAACCACTCTTACTTTGGGTTCAAGTCAGGAACTGGGACAATGGACGCAGCGACAGAATTGCTTTCCGAAAATGTCGTTAGATTACGTCTATGTCGACCCCCGCATTTCCATTGGTCCCCAGGACAAACGGCGTATCTAATTATGCCTTCAGTTTCGACCCTGCCATTCGAAGCGCACCCCTTTACTATTGCGAGTTTTGATTCTAGTCTGCTGTCGACCGCATCGGCGGAGGATCAATCCAGCGCTGAGGTTACGGGATCTAGCGTTCCGTTCTGGAAGGAGCTGGTATTTTTGGTCAACGTGCAGGGAGGTTTCACGAAAAAGCTAAAGGAAGTAGCCGTCAAGAAGGAAACTATCAAAGTTTTTGTAGATGGCCCTTACGGCCCATCTCCTGACCTCGGTTCATACGATACCTCTGTATTGGTGGCAGGTGAGTTGTGTATTGTCTCGTAATCACGTGGTACTGATCGAATTCAGGCGGGTCTGGTGTCTCGTATACCCTCCCGGTCTTCCTTAACATTATCGAGTACGCGCGCTCATTTTGATTGTTGTCATTGATGATTGATCCTTCTTATAGACGCGTACGCAAAGGGAAAAGCTCTTGCACACGCGTGGTGTTCATTTGGTCCATTCGCGGGGCTGGTGCGTGTATTCACAACAATCCGCAGCTTCTTCTTTAAGGTTATTAAAGTCATGCATCGTAGAGTATGTCCAATGGATCGAAGAAGCACTTATCAATGCTGTTCAGCTTGCTCCGCCATCTTTGGCAGTCTCTATCCGCATCTTTATCACCGCATCTTCATCCAGGGAAGACCATTCCAGCATTTCAAGTTCGACTGAGAAGAAAAGCAATCCAGAACACATGGTAGTTAGGAAAAATTCCTTATCACTGTCATTCTTGTCGCTGCGCGGCGTTAAGACGGAAAATAGAAGGGCGGATCTAGATGCTCTGCTCAAAGAAGAGGTCAATGTAACCTCGGGGAGGATGTCGGTGGGCGGTAAGTACTTATTACCCCGACCTCCAAGAACGAGCAACTTACGGGTGCGACACTAGTTTGCGGATCGCAGGGCATAGCACGTGCGGTCCGTCATGCGCTTCGGTTCCCGGTCTCTGGGCCTTCTAGTATCCTCAGTGGTGGACCGAGTGTGACGCTGCACGTTGAATCGTTCGGATACGCTTGATGGTCTCGAGTCCCTTTTTCTTAAACTTCTTATTCACTTATCTTTGATTACTGCGTAATCAGGGTCGCTCGCGATTTGTTACTAAAGGTCTCAAGGGCTTTCAGTATTGTATCTGTCAGCTGCGAAAAAAGTTTAAATGATTCGCAGCTAGAGTAGAATATGTATTGATACATGGGCGCAACCAACATCAAGAGAACTTCTGACTTTGTTCAATCACGCCATCATCCGTCAGTACTTTTGATCCCGATGAGCGACACTAATAGGAAGGGACCGAAGTGGCCGATCCTATAGTATCGAAGGAGTTTGTCAAGAAGTTACAAAAATTATAGCCACCATCACGCTCGGAGACATGGGCGCAAAGAAAAGCAGCATCAACTTGATGGCCGTATGTATTGCTGCTATTTCAGTCCTAGATGAGAAGTTTGGCCAAGTACAGTACTAGGGATAATATGATGCACTGGCAGGAGGACACATTGAAATGTTATCACACCATACCAAAGGTCTGGAAGTGACTCACAGATCGGAAATTAATGTCGACCTCGGACTGATGCGCACTGACAGCCACTAAGCACAAGCCTGTTGGTAAAACGCGTGAAAGAGCTGACAACGTACGTATGTGTTGCCTTATGTTTCATATCCACATCCAGACCTCAGGCCTCAGGAATAGCCCAAAGAGTTTTGCGGTCGAAACAAGAGGGATGGTCCTTGTACAGTCTTGTAGACAATCTTGCGTGAACATGCGATTAACAGTTCCAGATATACCTTCGGTTGGGCGTTCGGTACCGATTTCATCATGTGCGTGATAGATGAGTTGCGACTCGTCCCGAAGAACTCTGGAGCATGATTCAAACCCCAAGTCGCTAAGCCATAAATGTAGCATCAGAGAGCAAAGGGTCCACCGGAGATTGAACTGACATGAACCGAAATCAGAACGTTTTCACAAGTATACGATGTTGATGTAGCCTACAAGCTCAGGTATTCCCTTAAAGTTATTCATTCCCTCGGCCGATATGCATTCAACTGATAACACAGTTATCTGGCATATTTGGCATACCGTCAGCGCCCATGCTCAATCCGGGGGGCAATGGGCCCATGATTTCCTCTGGGGGAGACCCGTGTTTTTGAAGCTGTGATTGTACCGGCGATGTCAATGCTATGTCGAGTTTAGTAGACTTGGGGCTGACGCACCTCGCCCATGAGGTCGACGATTTCAAGTCTCGTCTTGTCGTCGTCGTCAGCGTAATCTTTCGATTCAAAAATTTCGAGGAGTTGCTTCATGCAGATAATCTGTGCACCGTAGCGTGACTTATCATCGGCCGTTAGTGTAGCTGCATTGGCCTTGAGGTAGTCCGGGAACTGCAGATATGACGAAGGGGAAAAATCAGAGGTTTCGCTATGTTAAGAACAGGCCTACCTTGTCCGAGAGTTCTTTTAAGGGCTCGTACAGGACATCCTTGCCCATAAGCTGGCCCATCATGGCTTCTAGGACACCCTGCATCTCTTCTTCATCCTCGTCTCCAAATTGAGATAGAAGCGCTTCGAGTGAATCAGCACTAGGAGCAGAACTGCTCGGATCCGATGACTTCAAGCCTGACTCGCTCTCCTTGAGCTTGTTCATAGTGTTCCGAATGCGTGATTGGAAGTCGTCCTTTTCGCCAGTTTTCGGGGCAATAGGTGCTCCCTGTGTGAGCGATGGGTCGGTCGCGCCATCCATCTCTTCTATCAGCATGGCTTCCCAAGCTGCTGCAAGGGTATGCTCCCGCTTTTCTCGTTGTTCTGCGGTCTCGTCTTCATGGGTTATACCTTCAGTCGCTCCTTGTTGCGCAAAACCGCGCCAAAGAGCCTCCATTTCTTCAGCGAGCGATTTCGCAAAGTCAGCTTCGAAGTCGGCATTTGATGAAGACGTATTTCGTTTTGACGAGGTTGGTTCATTCACAGCACGTGATGACGTCGATGGTTGGGATAAACTGGACGCGGGAGCCTTGGACGGAGTAAACTGATCTAGGACATCTGCTAGCCTTTATGAGCGCATCTAGATTATGAAAACATGGTCGGCTTCTGACCATCGAGATTATCGACGTTGTCCTCATCGTCAACACGTAGTTTGGTGCTGTTGGACATGAAGTACTGTGTTGCACTCGATTCAAGCCAACGGTGAGTACATGTCAAGTTGTAATCGACGTTTCTCACGGTTGGGCACCATCTTCATTCCATTGGCGACCGCATTTTCTTAGTGCATCTCTGAGACCAAATTTACCGCACGCTGACTACAGCTGTATGTAACATGCAGGATTATGAAGGACGAAACCACAGGATGGCGTGCAACGCCTAGATAAGTCGAAAGGACGGAAGGAACATATCAATGAGTTTATGTAAAGACTTTGATTACATAAAATAGAATTCATCAACTTAACTCAAAAACATATTACGAAGCCGCACTGCTCGGATATCACCGGTGTTGATATGGACTGTTGGGCGAGAAGGCACGGAACAGTACTACGTTATGAGTGTAACTTGCTTTGCTGCATGGAATACTAGAAGCTCAGGCTGTGCCGCCACAGCTAATTCGCCACAGCATCAGTCGTACGTTTTCCATCAGTAAGCATTATATGATCCCATCTCATCTCACTGGCCGCTCAAGATCATTCGTATCTTCGAAGTATTGACCATAGCTTTGATCCCCAATCTTGTGCTCGACGGTGGATAGTTCAATCTAGTCTTTGCAAACTATCCTAACGTTTCCTCAATGATTTACTCGAAGGTTTCAATGACGGATACTATGATCATATTAAGTCAGGTAACATTGGATTGGCATTTGATTCGTCAGATTAACAGTAACTTACAGCGGAGAGTTCAAACAAGTTCAATGCATACAAACAAGAATAGAAGGAATGTTCGTCCATAACTCGCCTTGGGAGACTAATGATAATGTAAGGCCGTCCAAGTGGGTTGGCCAGGATGTCGAATCTGACCTAGATACCCAGCTGGTCATTCGAAATGAAATGGGCACCACCAGCACATCGATAACCGTGCGACTGCTTGATCCAGCGAAAGCCTGCAACGCACACACCCATTTCCTGCAACTTCCGCTGTACTTGAGCCTCCTCGCGCCTCCTCCTCACTTCCTCTTCCTGCTTCTTCTTCAGCGCGGCCAAGGCATTCTCTCGAGCGGCCTTAGCCTCTAGCTCTCGGATGCGAGCAGCCTCTCGCTGGCGCATGAGCTCTTCGTTGGCGGCATTATCATTCGCTTTTTTCTGCGCGAGTTTTCGTGCAGCAGCTTCTGCAGCTCGCAGCTCGTTCAGGGCATTCTGCTGCGCAATATTATGCTTTCGTAACTCTTCAGCGGCATCCTTTTCGGCTGCTTCCGCAGCTACTTTGTCCGCCTGTAGCTTTGTCCAAGTAGCATCATCTACGCCGGGATCCCGTTGCACCTCATTATTTGTCTGGGTAAGCGATGAACTTTGTTTGAGTAACCCTTCGCTGTCTTATGTCGTGTGACACTAACCTGAGATGAAACCGTGGTGTTTGGTGGAGATGGCCCGCTGGAGGCAGGTTTGGGTTGCTGCTGTGTTCGTTGACGAGATGGCTTGGAAGCAGGGGGCTTTGGAGGAGCTTTATGAGACACATTCTGAGAGGTTGAAGGAGGAGGAGGTGCGATATTTCTCGACATGGCCATCTGTGGGATACCAGGGGTTGATGAAACTGTCTTGTCTGGTAAGTTGAGACGTTGTCGCTGCTCAGAGAGTTGATCTGTCATGATACGCAATGCGTCTTCTGATGAAACGACCAGTGAACTCCTTGGGGCTTTCCCAGCTGAGATGAACGCAGGGCGAGCCAACCGTTTCGCAATAGATTTTATGTCGCGCGCATTACCCCAGTTTTCGAGGCTCGACATATCAGCGATGATGTTGAGCATCTCCTCGTACAGTGATGACGATGGATCAGACAGCCCTTGAATGACGACCTTTGACCCGCGCAGATCCTTGTCAAGCAGTTCGAGGCATCGAGTTGGCGACATATTAGGCAGAATGAAGTCCTCGGAAAACCGACTGGAAAGCCCAGGGTTCGCACCCAAAAGTTGGTTCATCTCCTTCTCATATCCTGCCAGGATGATGACCATCTTGCCCATGAACTTCTCGTTGGTCATCAGCCCTACAACTTCGTCAATGGCTTCCTGCGCAAAATGACCTTGGCTGAGTCGATAGGCTTCGTCCACGAAGAGGACTTTGCCGACGGCCTTCTCAAAAAGTTTCTTCGTCTTGGGACCTGTTTGGCCAACGTACTCGCCAACGAGATCCGATGCGGAACATTCTACTAGTTCTGTAGATGCGAGGAAGCCCATGTCATAATAGACTTGACCAAATTTCCTTGCGATGGTCGTCTTTCCAGTTCCTGAAGAGAAGGCATCAATATGTGGACAACTTAGGACATGATTTGATTACCAGGTGGTCCCTTGAAGATGAAGCTAGTAGGTATTTGCTTGCGCATATCCAGTCCCGATGCTTTCATTCCTTGCGCCATGTTCTGGTAATCTCCCAGCTTTTGAATGACAGCTTCGCATCCAACCATATCTTCGAATAACTGAGTCAAGTTTGCTGCAGCGTGCTGATCACGGTCCCAATTGGGATCGAAGTCCTCTGGTTCGAAGACGATATCCTGAGACAGATGGGAAGGTTGCGATGCCTGCCGTTTTAAATATCGATCTTTCGCAAAAGTCAGCATGTTTTCCACTTCCCCTCCGTTCCCAAAGTTCGGACGGTTCTTTCTTCGGCTCAAAAGACCAAGCGCTATTTGCTTGGCTTTCTCTGTTGCACTAAGGTCTTGGTCGTTTAGCTTGCGTTCAAAAATCTCCTGTAGTTGAGGTTCAGTAAAGTCTTCAAACATGAACGCGTCCTCAATCGCAAAGCGCCGAGCAAAGCCGGGATTAACATCCTGATTCGTGTGTCAGAGCTGGCTTTTAATCATGAAGTCGTGCACTTGCCTTGAACATGTCTTCCATTTGCTCCTTGTATCCCAATAACAAGACACAACGATCATCTCCCGGTACGTTCTGTATCTCCGCAACCATGGTATCAATGACACCGGTCTTATAGGGATCCTGGACACTGCCATTCTTACTGTGCAGCATGTATGCCTAGCGGGGCGTTGAGAACCACAAGTTGAAGGCGGACGTATATGCTCACCTCGTCAATGACCAGGACCTTTCCGACAGTACTCTCCAAGATGGCCTTAGTGTTTTGTTCAGATTGGCCGAGGTGTTGCCCGGTAAAATCTGAAGGATTCTTCACCACAACTAAAGACGGCAATCAGGTAATGATCCTCAGAGATTCTTCAGCAGAATTACATACCTTCGCCGTTACTGAGAAGCCCTAGGTCTGCCAGTGCTTGACCATAGAGTTTAGCGACAGTAGTCTTGCCAGTGCCTGGGGAGCCCAAGAAAACTCGGTTCAGACCCATATTGAGAGGCTGCTTTTCTGCCAATTCGCGATGATAGTTCGCCTTAATGAGGTTGAAGAGGTTGCTGACAGATTGCTTCACGGATTCAAGACCAGTGAGTTTTTGCAACTTTATCCACGAAGAGCAGTGGGGGAGAACTGAGTCTGGATTGGGACCAATAAGATCTTCTTTAACGAGCAAGAAATCGTCCGGTAATGATCCATTTTTGCGTTCTTTTCCTACCCTTGCAGCCTGTCGTTGACGTATCTGTGCAAACATGTTTTGCAGTGCACGGGCATTGCCAAACCCTTCGCGGCCACGACCGCGGCCCAGGCGTCGAACTGCGATTCGACCATAAAGACCCCGGATGCCCTCTTCGACCTTCATCCTGCCTCCATACTGTTTCTCCACCATATCAGCAAGCATATCAAGAAGCTCTTCGTCGGTGTAGTCCTCGAAGGTGAATCTATGCGGCACACGACTCGGAAGACCAGGATTATGACTGAAGAATTTCTCCATCTGACGGCTGTAGCCGGCAAGAATGAAAACAAGGCTTCCAACGCGGTTCTCCATCTCTGCCAACAGGAAGTCCAGAACATCGGTACCAGACCCGCCCTGTGCGCTAACTAGCTGATAGGCCTCATCGATGAATATGGCGCCACCACCGACTTTCATAACGTCCTCGATGAGCTTCTTTGCACCACCGACGCCATCATGTGCCAGGCTCGCTCCTGTGGTTTCCTTGAATGCGTTTCCTGGAAGTACTTGTATTGATTCGAGAAACTGGGCGTATAGCCTTGCGACCGTTGTTTTCCCTGTGAATTTTTTAAATTAGCGCAAGAAAATTACACGAAGAAGGGTTCCTACCTGTCCCTGGATTTCCCAAGAGCGCAAGATTCAGACGCTCCTTGTTCGCAGGTGTTCCTTGACGTTTCATCAAGTCTAGCTTCTCCTTGGTTTGTAGAACTTGCGACTTCACTCCTTCCAGTCCAGTCATCGCCATAATACTATCAATCGCGTCATTTTGCTCGCCCATGAGCCTCTTCTGCGATTCCCAGTCGTCGCGAGCAGCAGAACTCTTTTGGCTACCAGAAGGTTGCAAAGGAGCAGATGAAGGATGTGGGGATTGCTGTGAGGGAGAGGTCGTTGGTTTGGATACGTTTTCACTGCCATCTTTCGAGGAACCTGCTGTTTTCTGCACGCGAACTTTTGCCTCTTGGATCTCTCGTTCCTTCTGCTTGAGCATAGCCTCTCTTTGCTTCGCAGTATTGGCATCCGCAATAATTTCAACCTCGACTTTAAGTTGCGCATCCAATTCAGCCATTTGGGTATCATGAGCAGCTTGCTCGGCATCACGTTTTTCCTGGAGTACTGCATCACGCAGTAACTGCTTTGTAGTGCGCTCCGCATCCTTCTCGCATGGAGTGCACTTTAGGGAAGGCCCTTTATGACACTTCCACGAAACTTTGTGGACGCCCGCACCACACTTCCCAAATAACGGCTGTTGGCAAGGTACTTTGGAGTGATCAGAAAGTTGATGGCACTTTGAAGGACAAGGGTGCACGTTGCAACTGAGCATGGTGCCACTAAAATACCCACGTCAGCGAGATGCACTGAACATTGTTGAAAGAACACTCACCAAGGCTCCGCACAACCTCCATCTGGACATTGATCGTCGAAATCATTAGCATCTCGCAGAATAGCCTTCCGCGCAGGATGGCGCTCGCATTTAACGGGGAACCCTTCATAGATGTGTGATGCCTGTCTGAGAAGATCGAATAGACGATTCCAAAGGGGCGATTTGCTCTCGAACGTGTTCATATTGCCAATGAGAATGAAACCGTCACGGGCCCGAGACAAGAGGACGTTCAAACGTTCAGGGGACTTCATGAAG